CATCTTTTCCCTCCTCGGCCTATTATTGTAGCAAGCCATTTATTGAGGCTAGTGTTTCTCCCAGCTCCTTTCCTGGAGCTGGAATGACGCCCAAACGGCGGATGACGTCAGGATGCTCTCTTCCAACGCCATATATGATACCTCACAACTGGGAGGTAGGCATCAAACTACCGGGGCCGTGTTGTAGAGATGCGACGGTATTTAGCAAGCAAATTCGCATCATTCGCATGGATTTCAACCCCACAAATAACACAGATATCTCACGGTTCAGCGTCCAGAGTTGTGCGCCCATTTAGTCCATCTGTAACTCAGCAGCCGGTTTCTTTCAAGAATATGCCACAATCTGCACATAGTTAAAGAGCGAGAGTCAGGATCTGGTTCCAGTAGATGCCTTGTTCATGGGCTTGCTGCTGGTCGTGCCGGTTGAAGTCCTAGGTAAGCAAAGACGATGCCCTTCGAGAAACAATAGATGGAGGCATGCAACAAGCTAATATCTCTGGAGAAGAGTAAGGTGACTACGCTGTTTCAAGTGAAGTGCTTATGTTTTGAGGTAAGTGCCGTGAAGGTTGAATCGTTCATTAGTTGATGATGGACGCTGGTGGTTCTAGGTTTAAATAGGCGAGGTTGAGGTTGAATTCTAAAGTTAGTTAAATATTTAAATATTTAGTTAAACTAAGTTAGTTAACTACCTCTTTCGGTTCGTGAGACCAGAGCCGCAGCTCTCGGTTTTTCTTCTTTGATGACAAGTCAGTCCGCCACAATCAACTCCCATCCGTTTGACTGATATCCTGGGTATCTCTTTGAAATCACACTCATCACTCTGTTGAAGGGAACCAGTCTTCCTTTGTTGATTGGTGTTTCTTTATGTATCTTTTTGCAACTTGGCTCTTTTTGTCCCCCAGAGTTGATCTTCTCACCCATCGTCCTCATAGGTTGACATCCTGGCGGGGTTACGGTTTAGCTCGCCCCTCTTCCTCCTCCTCCTGGGCTCCCTCTCCCTCTTCATAGGGATTTCCGTCATCCTGGCCCCCTCACTCCGTTTGTCTGCTCACAGGCTTCCATTCATCTTGGGCCAGTTTCGGACAACGAGTTCACCAGCTGTCACTCCATCGAGAACCTCCGCAGTTCTCAGCCAAACAACCAGCCGCTTACCCCTCACTACCGCAGCTATGGCTCCTTCAAAGCTGAAGAATCCCCCTCAGGCTCCGCCTGTCTTTACTGCGACACCCAGCTCGTTGATTGCTAACACCAAGCGCTTAATCAAATCGTCCCGCAACGTGCAGGATGCTATCGCGGCCAACGTTACCGCCGATGCGGCCACCTTTGCTAATGTTCTGCTACCAATGGCCCAAGATGAGAATGTTATGGCGCTCGAATCGCATATTCTCGGCTTCTACCAGGCGGTTTCGACTGATAGCAAACTTCGGGATGCTTCATCTGAGGCGGAGAAACTTATGGACGATTTCGCCATCGAGTCTGCCATGCGGGAGGATCTGTTCAACCTCGTTGCTGCTGCTCTGAAGAAGGGCGAGAAGCTGGACCCTGAGTCACAGAACCTGTTGGAGAAGGAACATAAAGACTACATTCGTAATGGTCTAGGACTCCCCGCTGGTCCACAGCGGGACAGGTTCAAGGAGATCAAGAAAAGGTTGAGCCAGATCAGCATTGAATTCCAGAAGAACCTGAATGAGGAAAATGGAGGTCTATGGTTTACGAGAGAAGAACTGGATGGCGTTCCAGAGGATGTATTATCTGGGTTGAAGAAGGGCGAAGGGGAGAATGAGGGCAAGCTACGACTGACCTTCAAGTATCCCGATCTGTTTCCAACTTTGAAATATGCCACCAATTCTGAGACCCGGAAAAAGGTTATGATTTCCAACGAGAACAAATGCAACCAAAACGTCCCGTTGTTCAAAGAAGCCGTCGTCCTCAGAGATGAAGCAGCACGCTTGCTCGGGTATCCCAATCACGCTACTTTTAGGATTGAGGATAAGATGGCGAAGACTCCTAAGACTGTGAATGAATTCCTTGGCGGTCTACGTGCTAGACTGAAGGAGGGTGGCCAAAGGGAGCTTGAAGCCCTCAAAGAATTGAAGAAAAATGATGTCGCGTCTCGCACTCCAAGCCAATCTTTTGATGGCCGTTACTACCTGTGGGATCACCGGTTCTATGATCGAATGCTGTTGGAAAAGCAATATTCTATTGATCATCAATTGATTGCAGAGTACTTCCCACTGCAGACTACGATTCGCGGCATGCTGAAAATCTTTGAAGAGCTATTTGGGCTCGTATTTGTTGAGATTGCGGGCGAGGAGCGGAATAAAATCTCCACCACTGGGAAGGGAGATGATATTGTTTGGCATGAGGAAGTCCAGGTTTTCAGCGTCTGGGACGATGAAGGAGAGGGGAGTGGATTTGTAGGATATTTGTATCTCGATTTATTCCCAAGAGAAGGGAAGTATGGTCATGCCGCCAATTTCAACTTGCAGCCAGTAAGATACCCCCTTCCAAGAGACATTGCCTTTTCATTTCTTTTCATTTCTTTTTCTTTCCATTTTTATTTACCATGTACTAATCTACCACCATCTAGGGCTTCATTCAAAAGGATGGGACCCGGCGATATCCCGCTACCGCGCTGGTTTGCAACTTCTCCAAGCCCTCCGCAAAGAAACCTAGCTTACTGAAGCATGATGAAGTTGTGACTCTCTTCCATGAACTTGGCCACGGAATTCATGACCTTGTCGCAAAAACGACGTACTCACGCTTCCATGGCACAAATACCGTCCGCGATTTCGTTGAAGCACCCAGCCAAATGCTGGAGAACTGGTGCTGGACACCCTCGCAGATCAAATCCCTCAGCACACACTACTCCTCCCTCTCGGATGAATATTACCAGGCCTGGAAGGAAGCAGCGGGCGACAAGCCCAAGCCGGACGCAAAGATCCCCGACGAGCTGATTGCCAACTTGATTAGCACTAAACATGTGAACGATGCCCTGTTCAACCTCCGACAGTTGCACTTTGGTATCTTCGACATGACCGTGCATGAGCCTGCTGACCATGCTACCATTGAAAAGATGGATATCTCGGCCACATATAATTCTCTGCGCAAGGAGATTGCGCAGCTCAGTGGGCCTGAAGACCTTGGTCAAGGATACGACTGGGGCCATGGAGAGGCAACTTTCGGACATCTCATTGGCGGTTACGATGCGGGTTATTACGGTTACCTCAGGTTGGTCCGCACCCGATATCTTTTCTTCCTGTTTCCATTATATTTATATCTCGCTCACTAACAACCATTTCCCCGCTATCCAGCTCCCAAGTATATTCTACGGACATGTTCTACACTGTTTTCAAGGATGATCCAATGAACCCGAAGGAAGGTAGACGATATAGGCACACCGTTCTAGAACGCGGTGGCAGCCAGGAGGAGATGAAGACGCTCATGGAATTCCTTGGCCGCGAGCCCAACACAGATGCATTCTACAAAGAACTTGGTCTGGTCAATTAGAAGGGCATTTCGTACACCCCTACATTAGAGCTGGGGGAGGCTCTGTGGATAATTTAAAATACCCACTGAAATATATTCATTATCTAACCTGATGAAGATAATACTTTTTGCCATTTTCGTTTCTTTTACGGAGTAGTATACGGAGTAAATTCATGATTGGTCAATGCTCTCATAGCATCAAACTAGCTACTTCCCGTCTTGATGCGCTCTATGCTAGGTTTATCGATAAAGATCATGTGACTTCGGCGGCGCCTGGCCAGAGGAAGCTGATCAACAGCTCATACTATTATACTCCGTATATTCAACTATCAACATAGCTGGGCGGCCATTCCAAGAGACACAGCCCTGCTTTTAATACTCCATGTACTTTAGCCGAAAGTTCGTATATGCCCTTCTTCTAAACAACCAATTCCGCAGCAGAATTACGTTTTTTTATCTCCAAACGCCCCCCTTCCTCCCACCACGCGCATGCTGTTCGCATTCTCTCAAACCGCATTCCTAGAGAACCTCACTTAGCAACCCGCAAACAATTTCAGCCCAAAACTCGCCAGAAAAATTTACACCATAGGCTAAAACCCAAAAGAAACATGGCCACGATAAGTGGCGACCGATCACCACCCGCCTCCAAAAAATCCCCATCCCTAACCTCAAAAGCGCCACCCGCGTCCCTCTCACAGCCGCAATCACAATCCCAATCGCCAAACCCAGACGCAGGCGCAAATACAGACACAAATATAACCGGAGAGCTTCAACAGATCCCCCAAACACGCCTCCCCATAAAAACCTACCACTGCACATTCTGCAACCACCTCCTCCTCGCCTCCACGCGCGATCTCCACCTCTTACCCCGCCGGCGCGAACCGGCGCGTGATCGGGCGCTAATATTACCGCTTCCGAAAGCTGGAGCGGGCGAGGAAGAGGAAGAGGGGGAAGAAGAGGGGGAATCCGAAGTTGAAAATGGGGCTGAGGATGCGGGGGAAGCTGCTGGTGACACAGTGCAACGAGGCACTGATGAGCCAACGACGAAAAGTCGAGGCAAGAAGAAAACAAAACTGGAATCAGCACAGCAGGAACAACAACAACAACAGCAGCAGCACTATACCATTCTCCTCTCCACAACGATACCAGACCGCAAACCAACCATGATCCGGCGCGAAGATGGGTTTGAGAAGCGGCTACTGCTGCGGTGTGGGCGGTGTCGGGTTGTCATGGGGTATGCTCTTGACGAAATCCATTTTGCGGCTGCGGCTGCGGCTGCGGGGGAGGGTGGTGGTGGAGATGGAGATGGGAAAACGGCAAAAGAAAAGGAGGATGTGGATGGGGAGGGGGATGGTGAAGATAATAAGGAGGATAGGGGGAGGGAGAGGAGGAGGAGGAAGGCGGAGGAAGTTGTTTATATACTGCCCGGTGCGCTGGTGGAGACGGGGGAGATGGGGAAGGTTGAGATGGAGGAGTGGGCGGGGTGGGAGAAAGGGAGGAAGTAAGATGGGATAACTTATAATGAAGACACGGTGGGGACAGTAAGGCTATTGGTGAATGTATGAGATTGGATACAATTATATACATGTAAAAATGATAAACCAAATGCACCTGAGGCTGCAACAGGTTGAATTACAAAACGATCATCTACATGTAAAAAGAAAACTATTATGTTAAGTGGTAATAGAAATATGAAAAACAAGGGCGAAAAACATAAAACATAAAACATAAACAGAGCAGAACAATTGCTTGGTGGAGTTCTATCTAGTTCCCTGCCATCCGAACAGCTGTACTAGTGCATTCATGACAATAAATCCCATAAGTGATAACCGCCCGGCCAGACACCCATTCATAAAAAAAGTTATTTTGCTGTAAGCGAGAAAAAAAAGTAGTCTAATGCAAAAAAAACATTAACCTAACCCACGCTGCCATTGTTCAAACCCGCATCGAAGTGAAATCACTCTCCTCCTCACGATCTCAGAAAATGGATGCGCGGGGAGAATTCGAGTGGGCGGCGATTGGGGACCAGGGGAGAAAAGCAGACGCGGGGCATTTCGAAAAACAACGACCAAGGGGACAAGTAAAAGAAACATCTCATCGTAGACCATAGGGCGAATTTGCGAGAAAAAAATGATATAATAATCTTAGAATGGGAATCGAGGTAATAGTTTAGTTGGCAAGGATTGTCCGGACCAGTTCTAGATCACCCGATATTAGATATTTTGTATTACGCTATTGTGATGCACGGGATACGAGACGAGCGGACGGTGTGGGGATATCAAATAACATACCTGTATAGTTGATCTCTCCGGAGCTCGTGTCAACGGCCTTGAGAAGTTCATCAACCTCGTCATCGGTCATTTTCTCACCCAAGTTTGTGAGAACTGTACAAGGAAGAAAAGCAACAGCGGTTAGTCAACATTCATACAAACATCGTCTCACGGTCCATTGAAAACACAGCGCAGTGTGATACAGGTGAAGACTGACTATAACGCAGCTGGCCCACGCCAATAAACCCAGTCATATCCTTATCAAATACCTGGAATCCGCGGCAGTACTCCTCTGGCTCCCCAGGGTCACGGAAGCCGCCTGGCCGGTTGAGGACTTTGGAGAAAGCTTCGAAATCAACTAGATCGTCAAAGTAGTGAAGAGTCCCCATGTCAGTCACCCCGACTACTTGTATATACATTGTATATCATCAAAATTCAATACTCACAGTCTCCGCCAATGCTCTTCTCCAGATCTGCAATCTCCGCGAGCGTGGGGTTCTGCCCGCAGGCACGCAGGAGATCGCCGAGAGATTCGAGGGCGACACGGCCGTTTCCGCGCTTATCGAAGAGCGAGAAGGCTTCTTTGTAGTTTGTGGATGCCTGTTGTTGGTTATGATCCTGATTAGAATGCATACGCTCAAGAGTGTCTGAACCGTCCATAGCTGCTGCTACTGATGCTGCTCTTGTTTTGAAGCTTCGCAACGGAGGGCGGGGCGGGGGAGCAAAAAGAAAAGAGCAAGGTATGAGGACAACAACAGAAATATAGCGCGCAAACAGGATTCAAGGATTGTAGTTGTATTTTGTATTTTTGAAATCAGGTTTCAGCGAGAGAGCGAGATGCAAGTGGTCATGAGTGAACAAGACAACCGGCGAAAGTTGTTTTCCTCCGAAGCCAGATGAGATATTCCGGCTATCTCGCCCTTGCCTTGCCCTGGCTGAGGAAGCTTTTTTTTTTGCCGCTGGTGCTGGGGCGGAGCGGACTAGGTTTGGCTGCAACCCTGGGACGGACAACTGGAGGAAACACGGCGCGACTCACCATTGTTTATGCAGGATGCGGGGATGCGGTGGTTAGGGGGGAAATAAACAACTGTGCCGGTCACAATATATTCGACGTGAAATAACGAGGAATCGGGGAAATTGGCAGACTCCTAAAGACTCGAGGTTTTTTGAATGTTGTTTTGGAGTTGGAGAAATTGAGTTGGTGATATTGGCGTGGGATGGGACGAAGATAGATGGGGGGATGGATGACTTGATTGTTACCGCTGTGGTTACCACAACAACCATCGTGTTTATATTTATAGCGCGGCGATGAACAACAACAACATCATCATCAACAACAACAACAACAACAACACCCTGAATTCAACCTCTGATACTGTCAATAATAATACAATCTCTTCTGTATTGCACCCTCTTTCTCACTGCGTCTGCTCTTATTTCTGTGAATGTGGTGCATTGTAGCAGTCCAGGATATTTAACTGCTCATTTATTGTACTGTACATCAACTTGAACATCAATTGAACCGTTCTTCTTATACTCTCTCAGGCTGTTCCTTTGGCACAATTTCAGATCATCAGTAATCTCGAGTCTAGCCTGTGTATTTCTGTCATCAAGGAACCCATCATATCAAAAGAAAAAAAAACAACGTCTCTAGGGCGTGAGATCTGTAGAGATCGTGTCCTCGAAACAGATACTCAGCATACAGAAATAAACACATATCCATATATATAGAGAGAGATATAAACCTCACGACGACCCAGCTTGCTCCGCCAGCTCATGAAGCGCCCGCAACGCCTCCTCCTCCCTCCCCACCGGCACAAAAATATGATCATGAAAATACCCGCTGACCACATTCGAGCTAATATCCCCCTCCCCCAGCTTCGCCGCGATGGCCGCAATCAGCCCCACCGCCTCAAGGCTCGAGTGGATCTTCAATGAGATCTTCCGGCACGGAAACGTAGCCTGATCGCCGAAGCCATGGCTCGTGGCAAGGTCTCTGGTTGTGATTATGGTAACACCCTCGGATTCTTGGAAGAGCATTTGCGCCTGCAATGATTGGAGGGGTAGCGAGTGCATGGGCTCTTTGGTGGTGAGGAAGACGAAGGTTTCTGGGTCGAGGGTTGGGTTGAGAGAGGCGAGGAGAGTGGGCAGGTTCGTTTCGCCAGGTGATGGGTTCATGGTGGGATGGGCTTGGGGCGGTGGTTGATCAAAGCTAAAATTTATTTTTCGGATAGCCGACTTGAATAAAAAGTAAAAGTACTGAGTATACACGACGGGCAAAGGCTGGGTCAGCTACTAACTAGGCGAACCCCGCAAGTGTTATGTCGAAGGGCGGGCTGAACGGGGCAAACTCTCGTGGTGGAATCTTACCAATCGTGTCAAAGATGAGTCTTGAGGTGGTAACATCCGGAGTAACAATTCAAAATAAACTTCATATTGCATATAGCAAGGATACACCTCTCCCAGATGGTCATCCTATCGTTTTTCATGAAAGGAAAGGTTTGCCAATTTCTAATGAGGGGTGATAGGAGAAAACAACACTCCAGGTAACGAACTAGCTATATACAATGTATCTCGAGACTTGTTCCTCATAGGACTAAAAATGGAGAAGAGGGCAAGCAATGGTTAGTTAGAATGATGTCACGTCTGCGGAGTTTTGAACATAGAAAAGGCACCAGAGAGGAAGCAGCTCGATGGCTACATATATATATCCACACAAATATAAATATACGGATAGTTAGCTATCTTGTATAAAAGAAATGTATCAGTAAGGCTTATGTACTGTACAATAAAGAGATGCAAACTGTACGCTGCTAACAAGTACACCCAGGAAATAAAAGAAAAAAAAGCCGGAAAGAGACACGGGGGAAGGGAAGGGGGGTATTGTTGTGATAATGAAAAAGCAAAGGAGAAAAAAAAATAACAATAGCAACAAAACATTTGAATCCAGAGTGAGTAGTAGCTTATTGGGAAAGTTGACCGGAATTGTTATGATTTGTTCAAAATCAAAAAGGACCATGCGGGAAAATCAAGTACAAACGGTCGCTAGATGAATCAGTCGGGATAAAAAAAAAAATTAAAAAATAAAAAATAAAAATAAAAAAATAAAAAGAGAGAGAGAGAGAGAGAGAAAAGAGAAAAGAAAGGGAGGAAAGAAGAAAAGAACACCAAGACGAAATCCGAAAGAGTTTAGTCCAATTTTTTACTCCTTCCCGTCTTTTTTTATCTTTTTTTCAGGTTTTTATCCAGTCATTTCTTTACTGCGACTAAAATATGCAAGAAAAGGACGTGGTATATATGACACAGTAGAATAGTAAAAATATATAGAAAAAGGGGATATCAAAACGTCGTAGCGTATGGCGTAAATATAAAACATAGAGCGTAGGGAGGGGTAAGGAATATCTCGCAGAGGCAGAAACATGGCACCGTCACCGTATACGGAACCACGCTGGGCTATAATAAACCGAACCTGAGCAAGGAAACCAAACCAAAATGATATTGAGAGGAAACACGACTGTTAAAGACCGTTGTGAAGGAGTCTCGTTTCATTTTATGAAGAGTTAGACGGGGCGCCGGACCCCTTCAATTTCTCAATACAGCTCCCCAACAAATTTGCAGCCTCGTGGAGTAGTTCCCACCGGGTATACGAGAAGGTCTCCTGCAAAATCATCAACAGACCCATGCAGCGATTCCGGTCGTGGACATGTAACAGCTCTTCCGGCGTGCGCACGCCGCCCACCCGATCGAGGAACTCGTACATATCCTTCCGTCGCTCGTCCGGGGTGGATAGTTCCGGCACGGGCGCGTTTATCGCTCCATCGAGCGCGTAGCCATAGCTCCACACTACGAGGGCGGCAAAGTAAATGACCCACGGCCGATTGAGGAGGAAATCATCGCGGGCGCTATATTCGTTCAATTCCATATATGCTGCGGAGCCGTGCTGGACCACCGCGCGGCCATCGTCGGAGAGAAGGACCTGCGTGAGGAATTTCAGCGCGAAGAAGGCGGCGTCTCGAGCGGCGGCTTTGTTGGCCCAGCGTTCTACCATCTTTTCGCGCGCGGTGCTGTAGTCCTTGGGTGTAATGGATCGGCCGAGGAGACGGCCGGCTCCAGCGAAGATTTGGCAGTCAACCACATCGACATGCGATGCCATGTGGGCAAGGTGGTGTAGAACTGTGCGGGACTCGAAGATTATGTCGTCATCCATGGGGAACTGGCGGATGGCGTTTGAATAGTTCGACGGGTTTGATTCCGCCAGAGCGTCGTCGAAATCGCGTTTCCAATTATCGTATGAACGCAACAGAGACGATCTCCATCTATCCCTCCCACCCAGAGCTTGTGCGACGCCCAGTGAACTAACCTGGAGATCTCGTTGATTCATGTGCCAGCTGACGCTTAGTAAACCCGCCATTAAAATAGTCCGGCCAAATGAATTGGTTCGCACTTTCTGGCCATTAAGCGTCTTCTTCAGTCCATCGAGAAACATGATCGCCTTGACACCGTTGGAGTGCAGACTGGACTGTACTCTTGCAACCTCTGCAGCGCTCGTTGCTGACCACAGTGCTTCGTCGCAGGGTAGCGGAAGCCGCATCTCGTGGGCAACCATTTTTGCGGAATGTCCGAACATCGTGGCGTGCGTTGAGTCCAGGACGAAGGCGGCAAACGCCACTCTGCGGGTGGCTTCCGCTTTAATCCAATGAGCCCAAGACTCCTCACCTGCCCCCGATTCAGAGGCAGAGTTAGTACCGGAGCCGGTTGCTGATCTGTTCTGCCGGTCCTCTCGAAGGCTTGGCGGGGAGTCAAAGGCCGATCGACCTATCAACGAACTTCCTCTGCGCATCAAGGTCAATGTGGTATCGTGATGGATATGGGCACGCTCGTGCAGAGCACGTGTTGAATACAGCTTCTCGCAGATTTCAAGGAGTAATAGCGTCTGAAATACCCAGAGCTTCGCAGGTGGCTGGAAATCCACGTCCATGAAGATCTCCCACCGGATATGCCAGGCTAAGAAGTTGGCCAAATCTGAAGCTGCCTCAGTCACTTGGTGCCCATGGCCTTTGTCAAGGGTCGAGGCGCCAATGGCCATAATTGCCAAGAGGAGAAGATTCGGTGTTTTATCCGCTGAGAAGGTCGGCTTGTGTAAAATGGGCAGTTGGTCATGGGTACGGTACCAGTAAGAAGCAATGTAGGTCTGCATCATACGCAGACTAAGAAGGTGCCAATCAGCATCGAGATCACCATCAAGCAAAGCATCCTTTCGCTTTTTCACTGCCGCCTGGTTAGTTTCGTTGAAGCGAGTCTGGATAAGTTCCAGTAGTTCATTTCGCTTCTCCTCCGAAATGATCGACTGGGGAGGTCCCGTGTCGAGAAGACTAGTTACGCTCATTGGGTGTTGTGGCTGGACTACGTTTGTAAAATAGCTGGTCAAGGCCACATCGCTTGGGTAATAAGGTCCCTGGAATTGAGCAGAGACTGGGTCCGCGTAATTAGGGATCATGCCAGATGCATTCGAGTAAGCAATTGGGGAATTATTGTTTGAATGTTCATTGAACAACCATGCAGTAAAGTCGTCAGTCATCGCGAACGGGGACCGGTTCAGTGTTTCCCCACCGAATATTGGAAGTGCATAGGATGATAAAGCATCCCAGTCTGAGACGGAGGAGCCAGGGACCATAACACCGGGGGAGGGATCGAGGGCATTTAAGCCACTGGATATCGCATTTGCGATGGACGCAGAGGTGGCCCCCGTCATACTTGGATTCGAGTAACCAGGCTGTGGCAACGATGAGATATGTAGATTCTGTTGCGGAATGTACGTATTTTGATCTGTAATCAAATTCGCGTCGGTGGTCAAGCCTGTGGCAGACATGTATGCAGTGGAACCTGAGAGTATGGGCCCGGTCGAGGACAGGCGGCGTTGCTGAAGGTTTGGCGATGAGTCGGAGGGCTGGTTGATTGGATCAAGCTCCGAGGGGCTGAATGGAGTAGTTTGGTAGCGTTGCCCATCATATTTTCCATATACAGGCTGGCGATTCGAGACACCATACATCGATGCGGATTGCCGTTGGGGGCTGAGCGTGTAACTACTCGTACTGTCTGACCGTTTTAACCGCGGGTTTGGAGCAGCATATTGCTGCTGGGGCGTAAGTGGCTGGAAATGATTCTCTATTGAGGTGGACGAAGAGGAGCCAGCGGAGGGGACAGTTGCGGAATTCGAGTAATTTTGGGCGTTCGCAACATGAATAGTAGAGGATGACCCGGGAAGCCGTGGTCTGGACATGCTCCCTGAGGCATTTCCCGATGCTATTTGCTTCGAATACGGTGAAATCGGATCATTTGTTGGCGAACATGACGGATTAGGCGCATTTCCTGCTGGGGCAGCGTTTCGCGCCTGGGGAGGGACGACAGCGAGGGTGTTGGCGGCATGGGCGAAATTATCGCGCTTCTGAAGCTGCGAACCATGAGTTGTGTGACGTTCCCGATGGCGGACGCAGAGATCTTGCCGAACAAAGGAACGATAGCAGTCTGGAAAGTCACAGCGATATATGTGTTTTGGGGTGTCTTCATATCATCAGCTGTGAGTAGAGAGGGAGTGGCAGAGGGGCGCGCGGAGGGATAAAAAATAAAAATAAAAAAGATTAAGAGATTAAAAAAAGCAGCAGAAGAAATACCAAAAGAAATACAATCACACCTCATAAACTAGGACCATTTGTATAATTCAGACGGAAGTAGAAAATGAAGGTTCAAGCGAAGCAAAAAGAAACTTACGGTTCAGCTGATGTCTATACAGATGTTCAGCTCTCGAGTAACTCTTCCCGCATCCCTCATGCTTACATTCAAACTTCTTCTCCACATCACCTTTCCTGGTCCTCTTCCGTCTCTTGACAGTGTCGCCTTGAGACTGCGAAGGCTCGCCACTGTCATGCTGCTGGTCATGGCCTTCATGGGAAGCATCCTGTCCCTCGTCGTGACCTCGCCGACGGTTTTGAGCTAACGAATCAACATCTGCCATTGATTCGACAGCCAGAGTCATAAGCAGAAGGGGGGCAGAAGGAGATAAAAGTTGACTATCTATGAATCTATGTAGGTGCCCGTGTCCAATGGTTAACAGGAGCGCGACTTTACACACACTACCCAATGCCCTTGCTGCAGTCTATAGGAATGGTGTAGGAGCCTCGAACGCCCATCAGAGCGCGAGGGTGGAAGGGCGGCGTGTGAGGGGGAGGGGGATCCGGCGCAAAACGACATCAACCAGGACGCGCTGGAGTGCGACATACGAGGAGTGGAGGAGACGCTGTCAATAATAAATAATAGCCAGATATAAGCGCTCGAACCGGTTGTGTGTCAAAGAGAGGAGACAGAGAGCTGTAGCGAGAGAGACGAAGACGACGATGATTGACGCCGGAAGAATGAAGCATGAAAATGAAGAAGGGGTTGAAGCTGAGAGAAAGGAAGAAAGAAAACGTCGACCTTCGACGCTCGCTGGGGAGAACCGCCAAAGTTACTAAATAAGTTAACCTGCTTGGGTGCGGCCTGGTCGGATTCCAGCTAGGGCAGAACTAACTTTGATTGCTAAGTTCAGGACTGTTCGTTCAATTCAAATCCAGGACATGCATACAATACATCGCTGGTTAACATCGTGAGAGCAGCGGCGAGGATACGATACGAGCGTCCACTCCGCGATGGCAGCAAACCACGGCAGCGAGCTCTGGCTGGTTTGGCAGCCGGTGCAGCGGGCAGATGACCAGGCGCGATTTTGGCCTTTCTTTGCTTTTTCTTCTTCCAAGCCAACGGAAATGCTTCCTTTTGCTCTGACCTCTTGTCCTTTCCAAGCCATGCATGGTAGGTTGTTCTCCAAGCTGTCGGAATCTGTCGTGCTAACTATCTATCTGTAGTACAGTACGGGGTCCCTGTCTATGCAAGGTTATACCTAGGTATACATGCGACATGCCAAACAAAGAGAAGGACCGGCTTCTACGACACCTACTGTTATCCCTAGGAGATAGCAAAATACAGTTTACAGATCCCTCGCCACCCTCAACATCTGACATGTTCTTCGGGGCCTGGTTTCAGGTCGTTTGCACGCGAAGTCGTTTGCGCTGGGTAAAATCAACCCAATAATAACCGATCGGTGACATTGCCAGAACCCTCTCCGAGAGTTAATTCTGCTCACCCGAGTTGGAGTCGAGCTAGGAGTCTAGGACATGGCCATGGCTTGTCCCCAATCTTCACAGCATGATCCCCATCATCGTTAGAGCCATCGATCCTCCCTTGAATTCCCATCCCCATCCCCGCCCGACCCTCTTCCGCTTAATGGGGTCGAATCACTAGCCCTATCAGCCACCATACCAAGAGAGAAAATAACTAATCCGAGGATATGAATGTGAAACAAGGACGGGCAAATCCAAAATACGCCTCCCTGATCATTTCCATTGCCGAGAGATGATCCTCAGTAAATGACGGGGAGAAAGGCGAATTAGATCGCTTTTACTGAACACATGGGTTCTTGTCAGGGGATTTGAATTTCCTTTACTCATAGAAATTACAACGTTGACTTCGCGTTCGTCAAATCGTGCCTTAAAATCTTCTGCATCTCAATTTTACCGCAAGAATAATGAAAAATATAATCAAGGAAGTCTAGAGAAGAGGGAAATGAAAAAGCAAAACAGAGCAAAAGAGAATCGACTCTCAACCATTCCCTGCCGTCGTCAGCCTGGACTTGGGTAAGTTACCCAACCAGCTGGTAAGGAGCAAGGAGCTAGGGTATCGCGGCGCAAAACAGGATGTGGGGGGACATAGCAAATCGAACCCTGATCGAATCTTCGAAAGTCAAACATGGATGCTGAGAGAGCGAGAACGTGGGAGGGAAGTGGAATGCAGAATAATGAAGCATATACGGAGTACAAGGTCCTCTATCTCTAATAATCAAGGCATCAAATGTGTTCCTTGTGGTAACTACAAGAAATGCTTAGGAATGGCAGCTGGTAAACCTACAGTGGCCTAGGCAGGCATCCATTGTGTCAAACGAGCCTATCTGGATCCATAACTGATCATAATTAGCCAGGGTGGATAAGCTAACTAGTGCCTGTGCATGTGTATACTTACTTGTGCGTAATGCCCTTTTCTTGTGCGTTAACTTGCTCAAGTATTATTTTTATTATTATTATTGTTTTCCCCAGCATTTCACTGGCTGATCAGGGTCATCAAAATCTTTGCTCCATCATCCCTTCGTCAACCCACCCCTCATCTTTCGCAACTTCGCAAGCCACACTCCAAATAATAATATCCAGGCTGGAATATGCCATGGCTCATGGGGATCCAAAAACAGCCCTTCACAAAACCTTCAAAACATGAAACCCCCTAGTTTCATCCAGCAGATCCTTTAATATTTTCTTTTCTGTGCGGATGGCCTTGATTGCTATACCCCCCCCATCAGGAGAACTGGCATACACCTTGTAGCCAAGAACAGAACATTCAGTATAAATTTGGCCCTATCAACATCAGCACCGATTCGCAGAGAATGGATTGGAGGACTGAAGCGGAGTGTGAGAATCCCATCGCCTAACCTGGAGGGACAAAACAAATAGACACTGGGTGAGGCGCCTGGTTCCTGCATCTCGAAAAAATTTAAGTGATCACGAGAATTATAAAAAAAAAAAAAAAAGAAAGAAAAAAAAAGAAAAAAGAAAAAAGAAAAGAAAAGAAAAGAAAGAAAAGAAATACTAATAAATCAGCGGCAGGAGCGCAACGGAGCTGGTGAAGTTACCAGAAAGAATGGGTCGGTCGAAGATACAAATGCAGGTGGGTGTTATCATTCATTTGCAAGACGGCGGCTCCCAAGCACGGATTTAGCTTGCCCTAAGCTTGATATCTATCATCTGTGAGTGAACTTCGCGCTACATTTCACCCTCTCCAAAGTTTTATTTTAGAGGCCAACAGGCTCACAGCCGGTGAGGATGATGGGCGACAGAAAGGGCGAGGGGATGACCCCAGTATTATTATCATTCATATTATTTTGATACTTTAACTACCCATGGGGTAAGATACCAATGACAATTATTGAATACATCTGGCGGAAAAAAGTTAGATCGTATTGAAGGATCCAACCCGCCGAGACAAAAAAATTCTTCATGCCCTGCAGCCAATCCCCACCAAGCAGCCCCCAGCCCCCATCCCCCAGCTTCTTCTTAGCCACAGGGAGTTTCCATATAAGCTCTTCCGTTGTTTCCAAGTATGTCCATGCCCATTTATAGTAAGTTATTATTCTTCTTTACGCAGAATTAAAATATTGCCCATGCCTCAACCAGTCAGCCTACGCTGTAAGTTCGGGCCCTCCCTTCCTTGGCACGTTGGTATATCGAGCTCGTGCTCAGATCCATGCATGGCATTCGTCCGTTTGCGGGAAAAAGCAAAAAATAAAAAAAGCAAAAAATAAAGAAAATATCAGATCTTTCTTGTCCCATTTTTTTTTTTTTTTTTTTCGCGGGGGAGAGTGTTCATTTTTCTCTACAATTGCCCGTTCTATGTGTAATCCCAGATGTTCGATCGTTGTGATCAGGATAGGGGGGACTGGGTTCCCCCCGTCGTCCAGGTCTAGCTACCACTTACTCCGTACATAATACAGGAGTTATTTTTTATTTTTTTTTCGCGGAGAGTGGGGCCTAACTCCATGCATCCTCGTCCCCGCCATTTTGGCCCGGGGAGGAGAGGAGGTGGGGGAAAGGGAGGAGCGTCGAAATCAGCGCGCGTATTGATCATAAGCCATGTCAATGAAGTTTTTTAGACTGGGTCACCAAAAATGGAGAATCATAATAGACTCCGGCTGGACAACAACAACCTTGTAACAAGGGCGCCGTATTTGACCTGAACCGAACCCGGTGGTTGGTTGACCTGCTCCGTTCTTACTACTGTGTACGGAGTAACTACTCCGTAGACAGGACAGGCAAGTTTTATATCGGGAAGAAATAAGTTAGGGCTTGGACGGCACAATTTCCTATAATGATCTAGCGTGCCGAGTTATAAATTCGGGTAAAATGATTGGTGGCCCTATAGCGTAGAACCACAGCTTCACAAACATCATTATCATACATGGAATGGACAGCGTTCTTCTCCCTATTGGTCTCCCTACGGTCTCGCAACTCTTACAATTCCCTAGGTGAACACAATCAATTGTCTTTCTTTGACAGCCACATTATCTTTTCATTTATGCTAGCATGTTGATTCTAATTTCTCATATGGTTCAGGTTGTTTGTTCCCCGTGTGAGTCAAGATATACGCAACCGTGTTCTACCGCCCCCCCGGCTCTCCAAAAGAAGTTATGATCTATAAAAGAATTATGTTCATAGATAAGTAATGCTGCTGAACTATTTCCATGATATCACGTTCAAATTCAGGGTTTCAGATGGCCTAATATAGTGCAGATTGGGAAAGAATGCTGAAGGGAACGTGTGAGAAGCTTTATTTCCTTCCTTTCTGTCTATACGACGGACCAGCAGAGATACTGTAGAAGCCCCTCAGCGGTTGAGGATGAGATTCTCCCTTCTCGTAGCCTGTTAGGGTGGGTGTTATTGGAGAGTCGTCGCTAGGATTTTATATGTTAAATGCATCTGGTAGTTATAAGTCAAGCCATCGATCAAATCATGTAAAAAAGATATTAATCCTTCATAATAAGGATGAGAGGACTAGGCTCGTTTCTTGAGTATGAAACTAATTCGCGTATAGAGCAATCTTGATCCGATCACACAGATCGCCTCGCAAGGATCCATGGATAACACCACCTATCAACCACCAACAAGTGAAACAAACACCAGCAATATCAATAATGAAAAGTAAGGAAAAATTCCCCAAAGCAACCACCCACCATCAGTAGAAAAAATTTCTCAAATAATCGTCAAAATGTCCAAAATATTCATTTTGCATGATTTCATCTCAGCATCCATCCTAGAGTCATCATATCATCCCATTTACTTAGCCCCAACCCGTTAGTTAGTTTTCGCACCATGTCTGGTATCAACATATCCTCTCCTCTCTCTTCTCAACAGCTCAATCTCAATCCCATCCCATGCTAACCCCCATCCCAATTCAACCAGCCAATCCACAGCAATGCGTTTTTGTATAATCGTTTTCGTTTCCCCCTCTTCTCTTATGTCGCTTTTGGACGTTGAGCCTTTTTTTTTTTTTTTTTTTTAAGCCCATCAATTAAAACGTCCTACTTTCACACCTTATCCGTCCGTTTCTACTACGTACAACTTAATTTGGGAAGGAAAACAAAGGAAAAGGGAAACCAAGCAAATATAGGAAAAAGAATACACCGCTATGAATATTGACAACGGACCCAAAATAAACAAAGGTTGAGGAAATGGGAAGCGAGTAGGACGAAAATGGGGAAAATGGGATGGATGGTGGAAGATAAAAGATGAAGGATCTGGCGCTCATGCGAGCGATATTGATGGTACGATATAACATCAAAATCTCATGGTTTTCTTTACAAGCATTATCGCAGCTGCTGGTTTTCTTTAATTTTCGTGTCTGTGGCTGTTGCTAGGTAGATAGATTGAAGAAAATAAATGACAATCATAAAAAGGAACTAGCCGCTGAATTTGAAGCGGGTCGCTTCTAGCCTCCCCAGACCTTCCCGGGGGGCTACATTTCTCCTTCGATACGAATTTGTGAAGTCTGTAAGAGACGGGAGATCAGATATAAAGCCTTGGATATAATTCACCATGTGCGATTCAAAAAATAAGTGAATAAAAATAAAACAAAATCAATGATAAAGGGATGAAAAATACGAACCTTGCAGAACAACCCTTGTCTTCCGAATATCACCCTGATGAATCTTCTCAGACAACGTCTTCATAAGCCTTTCGCTTTCGCCGGGCTTCAGCGTCCTAGCGGGGAGCATGTGCACGGTCGCTTCTACCCACCTCGCCGTCTCTTGGGGCATCAGTTCAAATAGCGACATCAGAACCCCCGAGGCATCGGGGAAACAGTCTCCGGGGAAACTGAACATCATCCCCGTCAACACTCTCTGGACGAGAATCGCACCCTGTGACGTTACCAATTGTTTCACGGCGGCTTGCACTTCGGGTGTGTTCGTGAATGGCTCGCCATCCGGTCCTGTGAATTCAGATACCGATGGCTTGTCTGTGCCGAAGCTGAGGACGTCCCGACAGTAGTGAAGAACTGCTGTTAATGGATCTACTTGCTGAAGTGTGAGTGCGCTCAGCGACGCGGAGAAAATGGGTGCTGCTAGCGGGGAGGTTAGGGATTTTTTGGGATAATAGCGGACTGCGTCGGTCAGGAGGCGGAAGAAATCTTCAATCACTATTTTTTTTTAAAAAAAAAAAAAATCAAATATAATGGTTAGGATACGTATGGCAAATTTAGCGATGAAAGAGCCATGCTATGTAGGGGAAAATCTTACCATCGGGGACGTGATTCGGAGGCAGGTCATTCAGAATTCTGAGGAAGTGCACAACTTGTTGCTCGAAGAATTGATATACGGCGTCACTTGTCGCTTGTTCGACATACTCAGCTCCGTCGGAGAATTCTCGAATGACTGCATCCGTAGCCCACAGGAAGCAACCTTCTTTGGATGCTTCAAAGCCTGCAGAGATGCTCTGCGCCAAACTTGGTAGGAGAGGTGTCATGGCGTTTCGGTAGGATATGATCATATGGCGCCAGCATCGGCATACTCGCTCCAGTATGGGAACGGACTTTGTAAAATTCAACACGATGGTATTTAAAACAGGAAGGATCTCCTCGCAGTATCTGACGCCGGGATTCTGAGTTCCAGGTCCGACATAGGGAGAAACAATTTGGATGAATATGGTGATCAGCTGGAGATGATCTGTAGGGGGTGAAAATCAGTCGTACGTTATCATAGGAGTGAAAATTCACACGGCACAACTTACCGGCAACCGCCTTCTGGCCAGCATCATCCTTAGCCTGGTTGGCGAGATTCATGATTCTATTCATAATCGGATCACAGAATAATTTTAGAGTTTCATATATTTTGTCAACTGGCTGAACAGCAACTACTGCAGCTACACCCTCCGTAACTTCTTCCTGGCTCGACGGCTTTAGGTTGTCGATGACTGATTCATAGAAGGAATGTAACTGGGGGATGTGACCGCCAAGCAGTTTCTGACAATCGGTGCCAAGGAACTTGAATGCGAGGGCGGCCGCCTGAACGACCTCCTGAGATTTGTGTTGGAAACCGGAAATAACATAGTTTAATTGGGCTTCGAGGGTTTCGGGGTGTTGAGCGGTCCATTCTGTATACCGACCAAGGGCCATGATGGCCTGGAACCGCACTTTCTCTTGATCGGGTATTTGGACGATGAGAGGGATGATTTGCGGTAATACTGAGCTCTCTTCAGGCTCGACCATCCGCCCCATCGCCCTCATACTGAAGAGCGGCGCCTCTAGCTCTTGCCAATGTGGTACATGATCATGTGTAGCTTGCGACGCATATTTAGCGACCCAGGCTTGGATCAAGCTATATGATTTCCCGAGGCATTCCGTAACGCCGATAACAGCACAGCAATCTTTAAGAACATCGCCCATAGCGTGGCGGAACTCGCGGAATCTTTCTTCCTGCTCGCGATCTCCATCGAATAGGTCGGCCTGGTCGTCGTCTGGTGAGGGGAATTCCAGATGTTTGATCATGATATCAACCAGCTTCGAGAATAGATCCGCAAGCTCTGTTCTCGCTCCCATGTATCGTTCAAGCGTTAAGTATTGCTTAAGCTCGTACCAAAAGGCAAAGGTGATGGAAATAGATTCCCGCTCCTTGTCGACAGCACAGCATTCTAGAACTGCTTCGACTAGACTTCTAAACTCGATGGGCAAACGGGCAATCAGGACCACCCATGCTTCACCAGCTTCGGCAAATAGCCTGGTTAATCCTCTGAGCGTTTCATGGTCCTCTGCCTCCGCGGCCTCCCTAATTTTGGGCCTCAACGCAATTATCCTTGGATACAGCTTTTGGATGATAGGCATTGCCTCGTCAACCTCGAGCGTGTCCCTATAGATTGTACATATCGCATCCACAGCAGCTTCGAAAGACCGGTCATTAGAAAGGCCTTTGAAAATTGTGTCCAGAAGGGGAGAGACGACGATTTGCGAAGATGGAATTTCACGCATCCATGAGGTAATGCACTCCAGTAGTTGTGGGTTTGTTGCGGCAGACTCTGTTAAGATATTTAGTCAGCAGTTCACGCGCAACAAAGCGGCGACACGGGAAAACGGAGTGGGCAGGAGGAGAGAACAAAGGTTCTTACCGGACGACTGCGCATATTGCACCAGGAGACTTAAAACTCGATCCGCGTTGTTCTCCAATAGTTCCGCCGTCCTTGTGGAAAGTTCCTCTTCCTAAGTGTTATGATGATGGATTAGATTCTAGACTCTGGCCGAAAGGGAGTGATGTCGTAGCTGAATAAGTTTTTGCTGCGCAATAAAGGCGGAGATTGGATGGATGGACATAGATGGTGACTCGGCCGCACATACAGTCAGGTTGATTTTGCGTCCTTCTGTGACCTCCTCGGGGAGAATTTTGAGGAATTCTAAAACAGAATCTCCCGCCTCATTTCCCAGAGCTGAGCCCACGGTTGCGAGGACATCCTTCCACGCCGTCATCTGGATAGCCAAGCTGGCTAAACAAACGCACAGCTGGGTCCTTATAGGTTTTGGTCCCGAGCTATAAGCCGCCAGGAGGGAGAGAATGGAGTCTCTCAGAGCCGGAACGGACTCTGCCGGTAGTTGATCTAGGTCATAAGTGATCTATTGGGAAATATCATCGGTTAGTGGAGTTGCGGTCGGTGGTTGCGAACCACGACCATAGTGCAGAGAGCACGAACAAACGCTGGGATGTGCAGTACATGGTCTTACTTTTCCTTTTAGTGTGGTCGCCGCGAACAGCTTTGCTTCAACGGGCATCTCTGGGGACTGTAATAGGGCATGCGTAGTCGTCCAAGCTTCAACCTAGAGATGTGGCGGGGTGGTTGTCAGAGCAAGGCCAAGGGCGGTGTTTACCCGAAAGCAAAGGTGGGAACGATGGTATTCTTACGGATTTTTGGAATTTCTCAAGGAACTCATGCGCATGTGTCTTTTCCGATCGAGGGACATTGCCTTGCATCGTAGCAACAGCTGCCAGGACAGGCGCAAAGGCCTGCCCCGCGCCGTTTCCTTTGGTTGCCATAGTGGGATGTTAGAGGTGGAGTGAGGGATCTGGTAGGTAGGGGCGTAGAGCACCAATGTACACGCTGGATCAGGTCAGCCAGGCTGAGGGGATGGATAGCGACTAAGCAAACTCATGGATCAAACCAGCTCAAACCAGAAGTATCAAGGGTGCTGGATATTTCATATTAAACGGGGGTTGGGCCGGCTGGTGACGAAGGTTTGTAGTTGGTTGGTGGGAAGCGGTTGGTTGGTTTGCCGGAGGCAGAAAAAAAAAAGAGTTTGGCGGGCGACAAGAGACAACTGCGAGCAGATTTTAGCTGCATGGGCATCACAGCAACAACCGACCGACCGCCGTGAGCAGCTTTTCTCCAGCACAACCACGGAGCATTCTCCCTCTTCACGTCGCTTACACGGCTCATTTCCGATAATTCACTCACGACTCTGCTTGGACTAAATACTCTATCACCCTTCTATCGCTTGACAGCATACCATATATCTGAAGCTATTTCCCCAACTTTCCACGCGCAATGACAGGCAGAGGTGGAGGAGCAGGTCGCAAGACACTTCTGGCTCCAATCCATTTCATCTTCAAGCTCCTCCAGCAAAGATCTACGGTTTCAATATGGCTCTACGAACAGCTGGCGATCCGGATAGAAGGGAAGATTCGGGTTCGTATTCTCCTTTGCTCTTTATCACGACGAATAATTTACCCCCCTACCCGTTGTTGATATATAACGGGTCGCAATTGATCAAAAGCTAACAATATACGTTCACGTTTTGTTCAAAAGGGATTCGACGAGTTCATGAACCTAGTTGTCGATGACGCGGTCGAGGTTCGTTTGGCAACGAAAACAGAGGAGGAGAAGAGGAGACAGCTTGGTATGATATGGCGTTATTACCTATCTGTTGTTCATGCGCTTGCTTCCCGTATCCACAATGCTTACCTACCGCCCCAGGTCAAATTTTACTCAAAGGCGACAATGTTTCGTTAATTCAGGCCCTTCAATGAAATGGCAACGCGGGGGGTAGAATTATAGGGTGACTTTGGGGAAAAAGGCGTTAGGATATATATTTACTGTTCTACCTGATATACAGACACACACAAAAAAAAATTTAAGAATAAAACGAAGAAGACGGGGCCTGGTTTTTATGGCACCATTAAGAGAATCCAAGCGCTACAGTTTTTTGCTAACTGCTTGATGTGAGAATGCGCCCGTTTCCAACGATGAGGGCATCCACGGGATAGTCATGATCGGCGACGGGTATCTTCTCTCCTGGGGGAAGAAGCTGCTCTGCCAGGGCCAAGGCGACTGAGACGTGCAAGAGTGGGAAAAAGCCATTAGCAAGCGAGTGATTGATATACGGGCGACCATAAATATTTCTCAGATGATTATTATATGTTGGGTTGGATGGTTTCCTTACCGAGATGTGGTTTCCGCATGCCTGCTTTACTTTCTTCTCCTCCGCTTTGCCTAATGTTTTTCAATCGATTGACGAAATGGTCATAATACCCTTTGCCGTGTCCCAGTCTTTGCAGTTGTTCGTCAAAGGCTACTCCAGGCATAACAACCAAATCTAATCCTGAACTGTCGTCACCGGCTGCAGTTGATTCTGATTCTGCCTCTGTCATCGTGGAACCTGCTTGGGCCGTTTCTCCCGTAGGGATACCATATCCACCAAAACAATTCCTCCTGCTGCCAATAGTATTCGAATCTAGTGTCGGGATACCCCATTTATCTGCCTGTAGCGATTCGTAGTCTTCCAGGGAGCGTAGCGCTAGCATTTCCATGACCGAGGAACGACCCTGGTTTGCGGTCGCCGCTGGGTCCGGTTGATAGAGATACGGGACATATACTTGCTTGCCTCTGCTGAAGGCATCACGGACAATAGCGGCGGTTGAGATTTCGCCAGAGGGCATTGAGAGATAGACACTGAGTTTAGTGGCTGCATGGTATTCAGGGAGTGCAAGTAGATTTCTCGTGACGATGGATGCTGATAGTTACATAATTATCAAGTAAATATCATGGCGATATAAACGGCACAGAATGGTGAGTGAACGGGGGATTCTAACATTGCACGGCCACAGACTCTTTGGATACTTCTGAAAGGATCCTCCGTAGCTTTCTTCGCAATTCCTTCTTGGCTGTTTGTAGAGACGCCATTGTAGGACATATGGTTATATATTACACTCCGTAAATCGGGGTGTTTGAGCAAGCTACCACGGCGGTTACCGAAATGTCTAAATAATTAGAGGTAGCTAAGAGGAGGAGGACAGCGGGGTGAGTGTGTTTTGCAGGCCTTTTTACTTACAATAAGTCGTTATGAGTTTGAGAGACTGCACTGTATTATACCCTGTGGCAACTATTGGAGATAGGATATTTATTAGCTACAGGATACGAATCTGGCCTTAGCATTCATTCCCTTCCCGCTAACTATTTAAGGGCACTAGACTAGGACGGACGCCATTATTGACTAAAATAATGATTAGCCGCCGTTCGAATTTGATTTGTTGATCTTGATGCTCTCTATCAAAGAATAGAGCCTCTGCCTTTGGTCTCCACGGGTCTTTTCATATAGATGTTATGCTTCCTGGTATATATTTTGAGGACCATACGGAGTATACCAGTTTCCGCTGGCATGACTATACAACCAATGAGGGATCGAAGAAAATACCCAATTTACACGAGCAGCTGCGTATTCTGTTCTATTCTAAATAAAAATAAAAAATAAATAAATAAATAAATAAAATAAAATAAAATAAATAAAAATAAAATAAATAAAATAAAAAAATAAAAAAATAAAAAAATAAAAAAGTGACCAAAAGTAGATTTCGTAAATACTGGATGCGACAACAGAGAGAGTTCACAGTGTTCCTGGATACGTCAGCCTTTCGCTATCAGGAGTTACTTGTAGAACCTGCTCCAGACAATCTTCGGCACCGAACGACACCGGATTCCTCGCCTCTCATCTTCGCAGCGAACTCTCGAGGAATTCCCTTGTTACTTTCCGTCCTTCTTTCTTTCTTTCTTTCTTTCGTTTTTCCCTTTCGTCGTCTCGTCTCATCTCCCCTCATGTCCCAACCCAGCGTGCGGCGACGGAAATCATGATGTTGGCTACGTTGTCTCTCTTCCTCATCTCGTTCTTTTGCCTGCCCACTGTCGTCACCGCGCAAGGTCCGGTAGATCCGCAACTAACGGGCACTTGGACTACCAAGTCACAGAAGGTCTTGACGGGCAGAGTACGTACATCATTGCTGGCACAGATTTGTGATTTCCTTTCCTTTCCTTTTGCGGAAGAAAAAAGAAAGGAAACAGAAACAGAGCTACCTGCTGACCATTTGCGGTTGTTTGTTTGTTCAAACAAAAAAAAAGGGATTCTACAATCCACAAAAGGATAGATTCGTGGAGCCGTCGCATACAGGAATCTCATATTCATTCTCCGAAGATGGATTCTTCGAAGAAGCATATTTCCGCGCAGTTTCTGATGGTTAGTCACCGCACCGCACCGCAACATAGCCATGGCCATTTATCGCCTCTATATCTATAGTTACCCCTTGAATAGAGCTGACGTATGATTCTTCTGCATCTAATTAGCTACCAGTCCAGAATGTTCAAAAGGGGTAATGCAATTTCAACATGGAACCTATAGAGTGGAACGTAATGGGTCTCTCATCCTGACCCCATTCAGCTCGGATGGTCGCCAATTGGTCTCGAACCCTTGCATTAGCGAAAGTGCAGAGTACTATCGATATATCCAAGAAGAGCTGTTCGAGGTAGATATGAAAAAGAAAATCTTTTTTTTTTTTTTACGACTTGGCATAAATCGCGCTAACAATCAATCGGCAGAGATACGAAGTCCTACTTGATCCGTTTCACAAGATCCAACGCCTCAATCTATACCGATTTGACGGCTCACCATTGATCCCCATGTATCTCGCTGCACGTACGCCAGAGATGCTCCCGACACACACGCTGAATCCGACAGATCGCTCCAAGACTGCTGTTACAGCAAGATCGACAGCGGCTGGCGAACGAAAAGCTAAAGCGAAAAGAACCGAAGGCTCTGAAGAAATAGAAAGGGAATTTAAAGTCGCCCAGCCGCCAAGAAACAAGAGCCCATTCATCAAGACGATTGACTACTTCTACCATTCAAGAATGGATAGGCTACCGAGCAGTGATAAGGTGTGGTGGATAGGGGTAATCATGACATCTATTGGAGGGATCGCCCTAATCTATAAATGAGTGCATATCATGTTGTACTTTTTTTCTTTTTGTGCGGTGCTATACTCTTTTTTCTGCTTCCTTCTGCCTTTTTTTAATTATTCCCGTTCTTTTTTTTTTTATGGATTCTAATTCTCATTTATCTTCTTCATCGCCCCTTTCTGCTACATTTATATTTTTAATGGGCCTAGTCTGTTGAGGGACTATCTTGGGATAGACTGGGCGTTAAGGAGGGAGCAAAATGGGATACCAATAAGTGTTTAAAATCTATTATATGATCAGGCTGGTCGTCCAGCTTTTGTACTAGCAGGCCTATAGAGTCCTCCTCCCTCCTACTGCTTTCTCATGCAAAGTGATAGATACTAATATTGACTATATCGAGTCGTGCCGTTATTTCACACCCCCTAAAGCCCGCCGTACCCCGTTGCTAAAAACAATTCGAAAATTGGCCGAGTATTCAATTGATTCATTCACCTCTCATAAATTATCCCGAGCTATGACGGTACTCGTTCATTTTCTTGTACCAGGGAAGGGCTAGAAATGTAATTCCAAGGGGGAAACGGGGAAACGGGGAAACGGGGAAAATCTTCCATTATATTTCATCATAGCAACAATATATAGCGGGCGAACGGACCATTTCCATCTCGGAGAAATCGATGTGCGAGCTAGCTGTAACTGAAATGTACACCCGGCGGACGATACTACCTGATGCTAGATAAAGAAGCTGACCCCGTACGCTCCCCCGGCCCCCCCGTTTCACGAGTCATATTGTACACCCATATCTGCGCCCCAATCACGCCCTCCGATGGGGGGTAAAGGAAAGGAGTGGAGAAGAAAGGAGAGTGAAAAAACAAAGAAAAGAAAAGCAAACGCCCGTAATTTTCCGCATACATAGTGGTGATATACACGTAACTCCCCTATAATTTTCCCCCACTCCCTAGGATATCAACTCCTTCGCAATCTTCGAGATCTCCCCTACCTGCACTGGTTTCCCTTCCAACGAACCCCCGGGTCCCACCAGCGCCTTTATGACAGTCCCTATAGCAATCTTTTCCCCGGAATTTTTCATTTTTTCAATAGCTCTCGAGACAGCAGCTCGGACCTCCTCATTGCTTATCGTTTCCACCTGGCTAGCGTATCTTTCCAAAACTTCTAGTTCTTTATTCGCGTTCTCGATCAAGTCTGCTCGGCCCGCCTCTAGGTATTCACCCTTTGCATCCTTTAGCGCAGCGGTGCGCTTGTTTAAGAGCTTTAGGAGCTGGATGTCAGTTTTTATGGGCGAGGGGGTCTTTGCGGCGTTGTTTGTTTCTGATATTATGGCGCGGAGGACGTTGAGTCTATATTTATAAAGACGGCCGAATGCGGGCTTGTTAACACATGTGATCGCAGGGAGAACTGAGGGGCGTTTTAAGCTATTGAGTATTTATGTACCTGGCGGTGTCCCTCGCCCTCATGGCATCCTTCAGATCTGATTTTATCTTAAAGAGCAAGGGCGGTGCTGTTGGAGCAGCTGTAGAGTTGTGTCGGACGACGACGCCTCGAAGGCACTGCTGGGGACGGGATCTGAGTGATCGGAACATTGTGAGAGAAAAGAGACTGAATTTACGAAGGGCGATATGTAGAGAATCAAGATGTGCTATGCTGTAATGAGATTTCTGGTGTTTCTATTGTGCAATTGGTGAAATAACTGAAACAACGACAGCGATTTAACCATGTACGGAGTATGGAGTAAATAAATTTATATCATATTTAAATATTTAAGTCGCGGATGGCTGGCTGCTGGTCCGTGCACCCGCTGCCTCTTTTTTTGTTTTGACGAAGCTTCGGCGAAGGCTGGCTTGTGTTCTCTCCACGCTGCTCTCTCTACACGTCTCCCCCGAGGTGGCCAGCATTGGTCTATCTAAATATCTTACTTTATTGCTGCCGTTATTCTGCCCTATCCGCGGTGCCGCATCCACGGGTGCGCGACTTTTCACCAGAGCAGGGCGTGCGTTTACCAGCTTCATGCGCCCACGCATGTTGAAACGATGACCTTTCAACCCCTTACTCCTCAAAGACCTCTACCAGGCTCCTATTTTCAGACCCCAGCTCCGCCTAATTTTAATGGACCTCTTTTTCAGTCCTCTACCTTGTCTGGTGCCGGAGGCCAACCTGCGACTGCCGCCGCACCTCCGCCCCAGCCCCTTCGTGCAAGACTCCCCGTGATGGCGGTCAAGAGCAGAGCGGAAACCCTGAACCCACGACAACGAGCGGCGCGGACCATAGATGAGGCTTTGGCGCAGGAGTCACGATACCCAGATCTAGACAGCTATTTATCCCGTATGTATAGGCAAAAACTCCTAATGACATGGTTTAGAAGTCTAATCTTAGAGGATGTATATAGAGGGTTTTTCTTCCGATTATGATATTCCCACGTCGGCGTCCTGGGCGCCGTTTCAAAAAGTTAAGATGTACAATATACCGGACCAAATATTCGATCAATACAATCGAGCACAGGTAGCGACAAGCATGGGGCTTTTTGCGGAGCTGAACCATGCGTGGGTTACGATTGACAATGCCCTATATCTCTGGGATTACACCCATCCAAACCCGCAGTTGGTGGGATTTGAGAGCCAGCCAAATAGCATCAACGCGGTCAAGCTAGCCCACCCTCGCGCAGGTGTCTTCCTCCCGTCAATCTCACACATCCTTGTTCTTTCTACCACTGCGGAGATGTTGTTATTGGGCTTGGGATGTGAGACGTCTGCTTCAGGAACAAAGACAGTGACACTCTATCAAACTGGAATGGCAACGTCGATTCGAGGGTTGGACATCAATGTTATTGCATCATCAAACTCTACTGGAAGGATATTTTTTGCGGGGTCGGCTGACAACGACGTTTATGAGCTCATGTATCAACAGGAAGAGAGGTGGTTCCAGGGCCGCTGCGGGAAAGTGAACCATACGAGCAAGAGTTTTGCTGCCTTCACCCCGTCAATTATTCTCAGCCATAAACCGATGGAGTTTGTTGAGCAAATGGTAGTTGATGATAGCCGAAACCTGTTATACACGCTTTCTTCGAACTCGACAATCCGTGTATTTCACCTGAAGCCCGATGGAACTATCAATCTTACCATTACAAAACATGCTATCGATATCTACTCGAACATTGGACATATTATTAGCTCCAACGAAACACTCAACCCCAGGATCAAAATAGTCTCTATCAGCCCTATCCCAGCTGCGGAGGCTTCTAGGTATCATCTGATGGCAGTAACCGCTACTGGCTATAGAATATATCTTAGCGCTACAGGGTCATATAGCTGGTCTGCAACTCCAACTGCGACCAATGCTCCGACCAGCATGCAAGCTCATCATGTGAAGACACCGCCTTCTGACATCACTGCAAGCCAATTACCTCAAGGGCCTCCTGTTGCTGGATCGCCATATCAGGCCTCATTCGGAGCCAAACTCGCCATCCACTCGCTTGACCCTACTAGATCCGCCCGACGATTCCCCCCTGGCTACTTTTTCTGTTTTACGTCAAAAGACCCCACGAATAGAGCAGACACCCTTTTTATCTCAACTCCCGACTCTGGCCGCCTTGCGCGACCACAAGAGAGCGCACTCCCGATTAAACCTGGCGAAACCGCGATGTGGCTAACCCTTGGCAGTCGAGCAGAAGACATTGGGCTATGCACACCAGAATTCGCTACGCAGCCGCAAGGAGGTTTTGGAAATGAGCTCGCCGTTCAATTCGACAAGCCTACAGCGGAAATTGCGGTGTTGACCAATACTGGAGTTCACGTTATTCGCAGGCGGCGAATAGTAGATGTCTTTGCTTCGCTAATACGGAACGCTGGTGGAGAAGAGGGACTGGAGAGTCAGGTAAAAACACTGATACGACTGTACGGCCGCAGTGAGACGCTGGCGACCGCTTTAGCTGTTGCCTGTGGTCAGGGAGTGGAACTGTCTGCAGATTCTCGTCTTTCGAAGATAAATGACCCCGACGTCCTTGAATTTGCGCGAAAGGTGTTTATTGAGTTTGGGGGAAAGCCGACCTTTAATGAGAATGCAGTTGCCGACAATTCCACTCCCGCGATTGACGCTGTCATCCCCTCGCCGCGCCATGCTGGTATTGCTCTCTATACCTCACGTCTCTTGAGGTCCATATGGAAAACAGTAATTGCCACGCAAAATCGGACCCCGGCGGGAGGTGTCACCATTTCTCCATCCATCGATACTTCAAAATTGCATTCGATTCAGAGAGATTTGTCTGCCCTTCAGGACTTCTTCCGGACAAATAAGTCCTTCATCGAGGGATTGAGTGGACCGGAAGCTCTCTCACGAGTTGTTACTAAACAGGACGAGATTGCGCTGCAAGGCGAGCATCGTGCTTTGCATGCTATGGTTCAACTTGTTTCTGATACAATCGAAGGTATTTCATTTGTTCTGGTCCTGTTCGATGAGCGGGTTGACGAGATCATCGCTTTATTACCTGAGGAAACGAAGCAGCGCTTTTTAACTCTCACATTTGAAGAGTTATTCAGTAGCAACAAGGGCCATGAAGTTGCGAAAGAGCTTGTTAAGTCTATCGTGAATCGGAATATTGCTAAGGGCTCCAACGTTGAGACGGTTGCGGAAGCTCTGCGGCGAAGATGTGGCACTTTCTGCAGCGCAGAAGATGTCGTTATTTTCAAAGCTCAGGAGCAACTAAAAAGAGCGGCTGAAGCCGGGGGAAACTCTGAATTGGGCCGCAATTTACTTAATGAGAGTTTAATCCTCTTCCGCCAAGTCTCCGAGAATCTGTCCATGGACTACCTCCAGTCTGCGGTGGAGCAATATATCCAGAACCAATTCTTTGCCGGTATGTATCATTGACCGGCCTTTTACTAAAGGATCGAAGATCTGATTTAAGTTTTTGTAGGTGCAATACAACTGTGCCTTAGCGTTGCGGCCCATTCTGACAAGGCAAATCGTGCGCTTTCTTGGATTATGGATGGTCGCCCACCAGAGGTATTTCCCCAATACTGTTCGTAAGTTTGCTTTTGTCTAACGTTGATGTGACATAGGATCCCCGGCAGGCTAGTTACGAAGTGCGCCAACAGTGCTATGACCTAATATACAGAATTATTCTCGCAGTCGACGAACTTTCGGGTCAAGATCCCGGTTTCGTGGATGGGCAGTACACTGCTGTGGCACGAAGAAAAAATGAAGCTTATGATGTGATCTCAAAATGCGAGGATGAGGTGTTCCTCACTAGTTTGTATGATTGGTACTTGGAGCGAGGTTGGAGCGAACGACTTCTTGAAGTCCAGACTCCTTTCGTCGTGACCTATCTTCAAAGAAAGTCAACTGAAGACATATCACATGCGGATCTACTATGGAGGTATTATGGACAGTCAAATCGATTTTACGATGCTGCATCCGTTCAACTACAGCTTGCCCAGAGCTCATTCTCACTCCCACTAAGTCGGCGGATTGAGTATCTCGGCCAAGCTAGGGCAAATGCATCAGTTTTTACGCCGAATGTGTCACGGGCGTCGAGGCAAAGGCTGCATCAAGAGATTTCGACGTTGATTGATGTGGCCAATGTGCAAGATGACCTTCTACAGAGGCTCAAGGAGGAGACTAGGATTGAACCTGATCGTAAAGCTACCGTCCTGCAGGAGGTGAACGGCGAGATCATGGAACTCAATAAGGTATGGTTGAACTCACCAAACACTGGTTCTAACAATTGTGAAGTTGCTAACACATATCGCACATTCCAGCTTTATAACATGTATGCTGATCCCGGCGGTTACTACGATATCTGTCTACAAATCATGCATCTCGCCAACTACCGCAATGCTTCTGACATCAAGGCATGCTGGCATAACCTAATCCAAGAAGTCCACGAGGAGGCTTCAGCAAAAGGCGCACCCCTCCCCTACGAGGCCGTCATTGAAAAGATCCGAGGTCTTTCCGGCCGCCTCAGGATGTCAGACACTACCTTCCCAGTCCACCTGCTACTACCAATGCTCGAGCGCTACGTACTCGAACAGCAGCTTGGCGTTGGCCCAGACAGCTGGATCGTAGACCTCTTTCTCGATCTGCAAGTTTCCCACGAACTCATCTACACTGTTCTCGAATCGCTCTTCTACAATGACGAAGTGCCTTTCCATGGAAAGAATAGACGGTATATCGGACGCGATCTGCTATACCTGATTGCCCGCTGGTTCCAGGAATCATTGCGCGTCGGAACGGGCGCGTTTGGCAGCGATGCCTTTGCTACCCGCGTATCGGAAATGTTACTGCTGTTGCAGCAGAGCGGTTTGGATGACGAGTCGATTCAGGTATGTCGCGATTTGCGGGCTAAGATTGAGCGATCTTTGTAGTGGCCATGCCCCTGGGCGGATGGCATACGATTCCGTATCGCGGAGGTGTGGCACGCCGACTACGTGCAGTATATAATCACAGAGGTGGAAAGCGAGGTTCCAACGTTTAAAGCGGGTTGTATCATGATGGTGTCTGATGTATAGCATTTTCGATACCTGATCGGAGATTTGTCAGTATCAGCGGCGTTAATAACAATCTAAAATTTTACTGCTGTTTTTATCCTTTGATCATTTACACCTTTATGTAGTTAACTTTGGTTCTCTCATCTTGGTTGTTAATTTTCTTCCCCCTATTTCGCTTCCAGTGCCTTTCAAATGTCCTTTATCTCATATTGTTCCTTATTTTTTTACTCCTTCTCGCCCCACATCAATTCGTGGCGTTAACTTTCCCCTCCCTGATTTATTTGTTTCTCTTTTTTTTCCCGTTTCGTTTATATCTTGAACAAAGTAGATACAAGCGAATGATAGAGCTTTGGGGGGAAAGGCAGGAAAAGGGAGGATCTACAAAAGAAAATGACGCAAGGAAATGAAACGAATCAATTAAATAATATCTGTCGGGTCGAAGTAATGGAGCTGGTACGGTCATATCATGGTGCAGCAAAAAATGCCAATAAATCCCTCCCGCACCCGTATATGCGCCGGTAACTCCCCATTTCCGTAATACAATATATACATCCTTGCCATCTCTAGTGTGTTGTAATTGTTTGGGGTTGGCTTTGTTTTGCGTTGCACGGTTGTAGCGACCATCACGTTCATCAATGGGTCACGGTTATTCACAAACAGCTCAGTTTTTGGAAGCTGTTCAGCAGTTGAAGAGTGAATGGTGGAAGCTGACGAGCAACTGTTCGAAGATATAACCCCCCAGGGCAGCCAGCTGCTTGGCTATATCGGAGTGATTGGAACTTTTCGGCACAGGAGACAGCGATCGTTGTTCTGTTGATCTCTTTTGATATTGCGATACCACTCAGGCGGCCAAGCCACGGTCGGATACTACTTCCGTTTACACCCATCAACATGTAACAGTACAATGCCGATGAACTGTGAATATTAAGGCACAAGTACATGTTCATCACCGCCGCGCAGTCTACCCCTGCGGGTGAATCAGCGTGGGGTCGTCGTCCGGCTTCTTTGTGGCTCTCGATGTCGAAAACTCGACGACTTTGTGTATCTTTCCTGTCGGGATCATTTCCAAATCCTTCGCGATCCCCTCACTGGTATTTATCGGCCGGTCACCCTCGCCGCCCTTTGATGCCCATATAACTTCCTCAGACGATAACCGGCCCATTATGACGTCAGCCCTTAACATAGAGGAACTAATCTTTCTGTGGCCGGAGGAATTTTGTAGGTGATTCTGATGAATTTTCCGTTTTGGTCCGGTGCCAATGGAGCACATGAAATTCTCATCACCGGTTCCGTTGATACGTCTTCGGGGAGATGGCGAAGGTGGATTGTCGGATTTGGAGTGGAAAAGGATCTTGTCTTTCACCAGCAGTGGCTTGAGCGTCACAGCAGATACGGCTATGATGCTGACCCCTACCTCGACAGCGCACCAGATCACTAATTTGGAGTTAGTAAAAATTGAGGTTACCGCATCATACCCATTGTGGACATACGCGAGTCTATCGTGGGAACACTCGCTCTATAGTGATTCGTTAGAATATCGAGCATATTCTAGGTATATAGTCAGAAGCTTACATTGCTCCAAAACCAGTAGCAAGCTGGCGAATACCTTAGCGCGGTGGCTCAAATTTAATTTCCGTAACATCGAAGCAGCGACAATTGTAAGCGTTATATCACCCAGACAAATAATTGAACTGTGTGCGTAGCTTCCGGAAATGACTGTGCGATATTGCCGGCATGTTCCTTCGTTAGGTGGTCTTAGGAGCTGCTCCCACAAAAAGCTGACCGGCAAGCGAGTGAGCAGGCTGGAGAACCAGTAGAAAGTTGTGAAGATGGTTGTAATCGCACCGACCGCATATTATCGTGTAGATATAAGCTCGTCCGATGACAACTACTCGTAATAAGAATAAACAAAACGAGATTTTCACGAGCCCTGAAGCCATGATATAAAAAAGATTGGCAATAAAGAAACTCTATATCAAATGTTAACGATGTCATCTCATGAATGCTGTGCCGTCTTGAGGTTCGTATATCGGATCTTGAATGCATTTCTGACTGATTCTATCTCCGTTGTGTTTGCCTAGCCCTGGGTCGTTGAATGAGCGAGCCAACAAACGCGGAGAACGCCAACTGAGGAATCACGGGTGGATAATTAGCTATGCACACAAGAGCGACAAAGCTATGCTTCCGTAGATGGACGTAGTATATATATGTATCGGATCGGTGCTAGGGATGCAGTCCAACTTACCATAGGTAAGACCGCGATGAAGTCGTTAGCAACCCAACGGGTCATGGTTAGCCGCACCGCACGTAGTAGCGGAATCCGATGACTAACTATCCATGACAGGGTCACGAAAGGAGCTACAGTGATACTGATGGGCTGAATTTTGTCCTCCATATCTATCACGCCCGCAGAAAGAAGCAAATAGGCTAGAGGAAACCGGTGCTGCGGCGAGTAAAAAAGAAAAAAAAAAGAAAAAGAAAGAAAAAGAAAACAGGATGATAAACCAAAAATAGTTGATCCTCTCTATTCTGGGGTAAATAATGATCAAGGGTGTCAGTCCGCTCTTATGCCTTACCCGCCTCGTGGAATTCTGTGGGGCGCTATATCAAGCCCTCAGACCCCTTGATTCCTGATACACGTCCTGATGGTGCAAACGCGGAAGGCTATTTGATGAGTCTTCATTTCTGTTGGGTGATTCGACGAACCTGATGATATGGGCAATGAATGATATAAACCTGGGAAATAGTTAGCTAGCAAAGCTTAATAGTCCCTAGCAGAAAAAGAGAGATAGTATAATAATGCCTGTTTACTCCGTACTGTTTATACTAATCATGGACGACGGTCCGAGAATGTCCCATTTTGGCGCCGGCGCTAGAATACTCAGAGCCAATCTCGTGCGCCCCTGTAATCTTATCTGATCCATAAGATAATCTCGGCGCCTATCGCCTATCCCGATTCGGCGGTGGCAAAGGGCCCGGAGCAACGGTGGAAATAACAAACTTCGCAGATTGCTGCTCCATTACTCAAACCTTGCGTCACCAAACTGACTCAGACAACAGAGTTTCCCCCACTGTGCCCGGGGCCCTTTTATATTTCCCGCTCCCTTTTCACGGCGAGGATGGCCCAGCTTACATTGAGCTTCCTAGACCGATGACCTGAGTGGGCGGTGGCTCAACCATTCTGCTTGCTTATACCATCCGCGCCCACAAATCATGCACCATGAGCCGAGCGGCAGCGTTGGATTGGCCTCGAGGGTCACGATTTCTCCTCCACAAGGTACGTGTACGTGGGCCACCTATACTTTTCTAATGCCAATTCTGATGCTAATATCACCGTTGTTTTCACGCCCACAGTATGAGCGAATCGGCATCCCTACCTGCCCCTGCTATCCTCCTATAAAAAAACCATGTTTCTCGGCCCCGCAAGGACGTTTCTCGTCCACATCCTCGGTCCAGCGGCAGAATGGTGTTACGTCCCTAGAACCAAATGAATATCAGAAACAGCTGGGCCGCACCGCGAAGGAGAAGCTAGCGGATAAAGTATGCATTGTTATTGCCATTGTCCACGCGGAAAAATGATCGATTGATCTAATTTTTTTCTTGGGGCAGGATTTCTTTTTCAGTCTGCTAAGCTCTGCATCGACGAAACGAGAAGCTAAATCGTATCTCTCCCGCTTCAAAGTTGAAAAACCAGCGCCTGCGAAACGCCTACCAGAAAAGCGAGGTGTGGACTATGTCTCTACCAATTTTGTTCAGTCAGGGGTGAATTTAGGGGGGGGGATGTTTGGTATGGCAAGAGCGGTGGATAATCATCCGGTATTTCGACAGGAAGCTACACCGGAATTATCACCGCCAATGGCAGCGGCGTCAGAGGAACGGCTACACATCGCTCTGGTTAAAATTCGTGAGCCCCAATTCCTAAACGACCAAACGCTTGGAGAGGTTGGGCGGACATTGTCACAACTTTCCTTACTTGGAATGGGCTGCTGCGTCGTAATTGACCCCGGCTTACCCCAAAGTGACCCATCCTGGAGGAGCCGGTCAATTGAACAGGCCGATCGTATGCTAGCGGCTATTGACGCAAATAATGACTTAGACTCTCGACGACTAGACGATGTGATACGCGTAGCGTCTTGTTCTAAACATGTGCTTTCAGTACCGTCTAGGGAGTTGATTCTTTCTCCTCTGCGTCGGGGCAGAATTGTAGTGATTCCGCCTATTGGCTACACGGAAAATACGCTTCGAGCGGGACCTGTTCTTGCAGATGACGTTGTATTGGCATTAACCAAGGAATTTACGGGATTGAGTGTCAAAGCACGCCCCGATGACAACCCTCATGAACTGGCTCGGAGGATTTCTCAGCTCCAAGAAGAAGTCTCCGTCGATAGGCTTATTATTTTGGATCCTGCTGGAGGTATCCCGTCCCTCAAAAGACCTTCGAAATCGCACGTTTTCGTGAACTTGGAGCAGGAATTTGAGGAGATTAGAGACGAGCTACAAGAAGGAATGCTAGCGGACGATTCCCTAGCTCCAGATGATAAAAATGGAAGACAGCAGCAAGTATCGTCGCTGGCGAGATCTAATCCATTTTCAACATTTGTAGAGAGGGAAGTTGTGTCTTTACCTCGTGGGCAAGAGGCTACCGTCAGTGATCGATCTAATATTCGCACTGCTGACCTTGAGACGCATCTCGACAATTTAAAACTTCTACATAGCGCGCTTACATACCTCCCGCCATCATCGTCCGGCATTATCACAACCCCCCAAGATGCAGCGAACTCAGCAAGCTCATCCCGAGACCCATCACAGTTATCAACAGTTGCGACCCGACGGCAGCGGAACCCCTTGATCCACAACCTGCTGACAGATAAGCCCAGCCACTCCGCTTCTCTTCCAGCTGGAAGGTTAGGCGCCAATAACGGTTCTTCACCCTACCATACCATCCCCGTAACGCATTCGACGTTTGTTAAAAAGGGGATGCCCTTGACAATGTTTCCCGACCCACGAGTGCACATCTGGAAACCTCCAATAAACGGGGAATCCCAGATGACACTTAATGATCCGCATATTGATCTACCCCGCCTCGTCCAACTAATCGAGGATTCTTTCAATAGAAAGCTTGATGTCCAGCACTACCTCAACCGCGTCAGTGATCGTTTGGCTGGTCTCATTATTGCAGGCGAGTACGAGGGCGGAGCTGTTTTAACCTGGGAACTCCCGCCAGGTGTACCCAACGACGGAAGCGAGGAGAGTCGATCACGAATGGTTCCCTATCTTGATAAATTCGCCGTTCTCAAACGGAGTCAGGGGGCGGGCGGTGTGGCGGACATTGTATTTAACGCAATGGTTCGAACATGCTTGCCCAAGGGCGTGTGCTGGCGGAGCCGTCGTGATAATCCAGTGAATAAGTGGTATTTCGAGCGGGCTAAGGGGACGTGGAAACTTCCCGGGTCGAATTGGACCATGTTCTGGACGACTGATGGTGTGCCGGAGAACGATAGGATATTTCGGGATTATGAGGGTATTTGTCGGGGGATTGAGCCTAGCTGGGCTGACAATAAGCATGTGGTCGAGTAAATACATTTATATATTCTTTTCCGCATGCCTTTATTTTTGAATCGTCGTGATTATAGATGAAAATTTAGCTATATACCCTTCTGTACTCTATATTCGGGATAATGGTTAGCAGTGGATTATATATCATTCCGAATATTATCTCCATAGCAGCATCCCCTGGATTGCTCTTTTAGGGGCATATATATATATTATTGGTTTGATCATAGCAAAACCAGAATGAAGATGTCAGAATTCCCGCCAACAGCAAATTGCCTTTTCGGGCAAGCCTGGATCTCCCCCAGTGCACGGACCAACCGCATCCTTTGCATACAAAGTCGTAGCCGCAAACAATCTCAACAACTGCAATATTATCTGGGAACAACTAGAGCAGCACTGAACGAAGAGACTGGACTTGTCTCCGCGAATATGAGACACAGCCTCCACCATGCCAATATGTATCGAATGCTGCTGCCCCGTCTCACATCTCTACACTTCCTACAGCAAGGCCGATGACCGCTCACTTGGCAAAGGCGTGCGATTGACCCAATGCCCGCGCTGCAAACGGTTTGCAGACAAGTATGTCGAGCACGATTTTGTAGTGCTCTTCATTGACCTGGTCTTGATAAAACCTCAGGTAAATATATCCCTGGTGTACGATATTTGCGCTGTTGCGATACTGGGCTAAATTTACTTTCGATTCGCTAGGTGTATCGCCATCTGCTCTTCAACCGCCTAGGGAGATCCGACAACAAGTTCGATGTATGCCACACTCTATCCCTTCCTCTCCCACAGTTTACCTCGTTTCGCATTCTTTTTCTCTGTTGAATGGATAATAATATTCTCCTCTAGCGCTCTATTATACGCCTAGGAACGTTAATATTGCTCTTTGATGTCTATCTATCCTGGGCACGAGTCGAGAAGTCCGACGCCCTCTCCGCATCTCCCCTCTCCACAGCTCCCATCATCGTCCAGTATATATTCTTCCTTACGCTGAACACCCTCGCAACGATTGCGCATCATGTTACTGTTCGTCTCCTTGCTTCGTTTCTCGTCCCACGTCCACAGCCCATCACCACTACCCTCAATGACGCCAATAATGGGGATGTAATTCCACCCAGTCCTTCTGTTACCTCTGCGCCTTCGCAATCTCAACCTCAGAACCAAGTACCCACTGCCAACGCGGCATCTAATAATGGAGCTGTTCATCCCCCTCCATCCTCCAATCAACCTAATCATAACTCCACAAATAACCTCCCTACGCCACCACCTCCCATCCGCCGAATGTCTGCATCACCTCTACAGATCGATCCCATGCCCCCTCCTTGCCCCGCTAGTCCAAATTCCATAAGCACTGCGCTTCTCGTCAGCAGCTGTACAAAGCTTTTCCCAATCCTGCTCGTGATCTGGAGCCCGGAAACACATGACGCCAACGGTAACGTTGCCAGTACCACACCAGCTTCCGCGTTGGGCACAGCGACAAGAATGCTAGCGAACTTATTGGCATCCACAGTCACGAAGTACATCTCACCTTCCTCATCCTCTATATCTACTGTACCGCAACAGCAGCAGCAGCTCCAACTCACATCCTCGCCCTCTCCCTCATCAATATCAGCGCCTACATCTACGTCATCATCCCTCTCCACTTCTATCCTCGACCCGCTCCTCTCGCTCGTTCTGTCTATAACAAACACCCACCTCGTCCTATTGAATAATACCGAGGCACTTTTCATACTGCTTGATTGCGGATATATACGGGCAGCTATCCTAGCGCTTAGTGGTCAGTTAGCGAGATGGCTTGTTGAAAAGACGCTGTTGGGAGCTGTGGGGTTGTGATTGACATGCACACTGAAAACAAGGGAAGGGAACGGAGGTTAACCTGACTATATATTTACGGTCGAATTAATTTTAATATATGTATTTACCGGGTGGTTGGTTATATGTATAGTTGGGATTAGCACTGGGAGTTTCGGATTTGGCTTTTTTCTCTGTTTGTTATCCGTCTTTGATGGACAACTATCTTTTCGCTACTATTTACTTCTGTAGTTACCTACTCTTCTTAGCGAATGCATCCAGGCCTCGTCTTTAGGCAAATACTTAATGTTTGCATTATTTCAAACGATAAACACGGTTTATCTTTAGCATTCCGATCCTCTGATACGAAATATAATCATTCGTCTCGGGCATGCAGTAATATACAATGCACGCCAATAACCAAACAATGAAAAGGGCCTCGGATAACCAGCCGGAAAAATAAAATAAAAATAAAGCTAAGGAATAGATTCACATAGTAAAAGCCCAGCGAATCTCGACAGCAAAAAGGTATAAAATAATCAACAAGGAATCCACAGTCACTACAATCTGCATTCTTTTCCCTCCCTCCCTCAGTGCGGTATCCTATCAGGCCGCATGTCACTTCTCTTCGGCGCGATTAATGGATGTAATTGTGCGAGGAACGTTATTGCTATATGCAAGAGGCATAGTTAGATTGTCTGTTTCCATTACAAATCGGACGAATGGCGAGTATAGCTTTTAACAGTAAGAATTTGATGGATGGATGATGTATTTACGTACCCCACATTAGATAGCAGGCTGTAAATGCGAGTATTAACGAGCTGCGCCATACCCTGTGATAAATGTTAGTGGTTTTTCTTTACTGATAAGAATGCTTGTCTGATATGGTGCTGAAGCGGTGGGTGGATATGGGGTGGAATATGTGATCTCTTCGCTGGTAATGTCGGGGTAGTCTCGTTTGATCTACTTCAACGGACGTGCGCGTGGTTTGGGGGTTGACTCTGAGCTTCTTAGAAACCTTGATGTCGTGCCTGAGAAACCAACATTCCCATGCATTTGACGGTATTCGAAGAGACTCGCTCGACAATCCATTCTTTCCCGAAAATGCCCAAACAAATCACACATGTCCCACGCTTTATCCAATGCTATCTTCTTCCCTCCCCACCAGACGTTCAAATCCCATCGGAGTAAATCGAAAAGAGAAATAAGGCGGTAGCGGGAGGGGAAGTATGCACTAACGTTCTATCCTCTCCCTTCGGACTGAATACCCAAGCCAGCAGGTTCGCGATGACCACAAAGACGAGTCCGATAATTATGCTCCAACTATATCATTGCAAACATTGCCCGGTGCTCAGCGGAGAGCGCCGGTGGGTGTTGTTGGTTAGCCTGATGACGGAGAAGCAAGCTGAAACGCGGAGCGTAGTGGCATACCCGTTCGCCATGCTTTACATGTGAGTGTGTAGTAAATAACTATCGGATCTTCATATATTTACAACTGCAGAGGTTCAGCAGCTGTGGGCGGAGTTGGGAGGTAGGTGGGAAGTACGGCGTTGACGGAGGAATCGGAGCACGGACGAGTAGCAGGACAGGGGCCCAGGAGGGGCAGAAGATTACAGTGGGACTATTTGATGGGATGGTGGAACTGAACACGGCGCCGCTGAAGCTGTTATGTTATATGCGCTGCGTGAGATGGACGTGAAGCTGGAGCTCGGAGGCCGTGATGTTATCGGGGCAGGATGGGTGGATTACATAAGTAAATATTTAACTCCAACCCGTCTTCCTAGAAACCATCAAAGATATTTTGCTAACTTCTAGGCAACATACGCACAAGTAGATGTGGAAGATTCGTTTATGTGGTCTTCCAACATGTTTTACTTTATTGCTAAGATTTCATCTCGCCGGTACGATGGTTCAAATCTACGGAGACTTCCGTTCAAACCCCTTCCATGACCGTTATCTAGCTCATCATATCCCGTCATGAATTGAATGCTGTGCTGTACTGTACTGTGCCTCCACTCTTTTCGGCCAACGGTTCCGCTATGTCCTCATTCCTATGACACATATATTGCAAGGGGACAGACAAGACGTAGGAGACGTGCGGCTATTGCAAAAATGGATCTCAACACGTCCTATGGAGCTGGTTTAACTTACGAATCTGTCTAGCTTCGCCGAGAGTTTATGATTCGTTATAGTTTCATCCTGTTCTTGAAAGATCCGTCTCCGCGCCCTATGCCGGGATTGCTTTGGATGGGTTCGATTTTTATACGCTCTTTCAGATTGTGTTCACTACTTTAGCATGGACTTCCCCCTCCAGACCATTATACAGAAGGGCGAGTTTTATCAATGATCAAAACTTGCGTGCGTTTCTCGAAATGAGCTATATACTATTCGAGTTGAATTTCTACAATGTCGAGCCGTATTGCAACTTAATTTTCTTTTCTTTTCTTTCATCATGGAGGAATGAAATGCACTAGTTGAGTACAATATGATGTGTAGTATTTCTCACCCCCAGACAGACCATCTGCTGTCATTATCTAATATTCCAGAGCAGAAAGTTTTCCGAGAGCAAGTCGATCATTAATGACAAGACATGGTTAACGTTCTTTTCTCTAGAAGTCTTCCTGCCGAACCCCGATTCAACACGGAACTACCCTCTGAGCTCACTCAAATACAGCTGTTAGCTGAGGTCCTGACGGGGGTGAAACTCACGAAAGGTTTTTTGAAGCAGAAGAAAGTTGGGCAATTTTGGATTGTTTCTCGGAGGACTTTACGCGTCACTAGCGGAGATAGCAGAAAGCTAGCTAGCATTTCTCCCAGGGAAGAAGCGGAGGATACGATGGCCGTCTCCTACCGGATTCTAACGATGGGTCAGAGACCCCATCGCAGTGGCGAATTTTTTGGCCTCATGCTATCCTGAAGGATAGGTCACATCTGCGAAGCAATGTGAATGGGCATATATCTGCGGTGAACTATCTGGAGATATTAGAGTTATGGGGCGCTTTTCAATGTTTGCGGGAGGATCCCGGATGCGCAGAAGATCTTTACAGCGTATGAACAAGTAAACCCGTTGTGCCCAAGGATTGGCGTCTCTTGTGATCGACAAATCTTATTTCTCAGTGTTTACGAACGTGAGGAATTGATTTTGACATCCCGTGGATGCACATAACAAACCTAAACATCTGGCGGCTAGTCCAGCAGCGCCTTGGTAATGATTCCGACGTTGCACGTCGTTCCTACCCATGGTTCATGCTCACATTTATTCATTGTTGTTACTCTTTGGAAAAGAAAGAAAGGCGCACGAAAAGGGAAAGGGGAAAACTGGGACGACAATCGGACCAAAATATAAAATGTAAGTCAGGATGAGTGCAAAAATATTGGGAAAATCTCCTTGTAGATTGATCTAGGACCACCCTCTGACCTGGCCGAGTGTCCAATTTTTTGATTCTATCTAAGCAGAACGTCATGTAAATCCTTAACTCGTTGAGCCAATAAGCCGATCTGATTGTAAATGTTGGTGTGATTCATATGCAGCAAGCAAGGACTCTCTAATTTCATCCTTTTCACGAACCTTGTTTAAGAAAATAATAACAATAACTCTTGCGCTATATCTATTTAACCAATCGAGACGGTTCAAATTTCATATTTTCAGGTGTGGGAAAGGCATCATAGCATCCAAGATGGTGCCCAATTTTGAGCCATGTTATCTCCCTGTAGGAATTGATGCAGCTCTGCTCCGTTGTGGCTGGTTGCCTTTTTCCCTATTCTGTTCGATCGTCAGTTTCTTATATTCTGGACTGGCAATGTTCTCAGTGGCAGAGGGAAAAAAAGGAGCTCGAGCGCGGAGGGGGTAGGGGTGGGGAATTGAAATAGAATATATATATCGGTCTGTTGCCCTAACCACGATACGAACGGGTCTTTCAGTAAATAGGCAAATCATTCTTTTATTCTTTTGGTACAATAACCCTCTGCAACGATATTAATTATTGTTACTAGACATGCTGGGATATACTCTCGTTTGGCTGGGCGTTGCTCTCTGGGCAGTGTCTGGCTCTGCGATGCTTGTGGATGAGAAGGTGATAACTACTCCCAAATTATTCCGCTTTACCTGCTTCTACAGCTAACATTTTGGGAGTGGAAAGATCCAAGGAGCAGCAGAATTGCACTCCTGGGATCCAAGGGACTCGGTGGACGATACGCCTTCGGATCTGAGGCGTGTAGTTGAAGAGCGCTATCTTTCTCGCATGCCGAAAATGATCACCCCTTTGGCGATAATGAAATACTTCAGGGTAGAGAGGATGGCCAAAAACGAGACAACAGGACCAGGGTTGTACTTCAAGTACTGGGGGCTAGACATCACATATCCCAGAATCATGACGTGCAAGCCTGTGCTCTCTGATGTGATAGGCTTGGAGAAAACAATTGTCTGTGGCAAGGGGCAGGCTTGCAAGATCTCGAGAACCGTGACTTTTCTCGACACCTACACGAACAGCGTGGGATGGAAAATCGGTGGCTCAGTTGGCGCGGATATTGGAGTCGGCGAAGGCTTCACTGTCAAAGTTTCGGGGACCTACGAGAAAAATTATCAGGAAACCTGGGCGAGAGCCGACGGAACAACAACCACATACGAGTTTAGTTTGAAAGAGAACAGCAGCTGTACTCCAAGCATGGTACATGTCGATCTGCTATGCGACATCGAGGAGGCCATCTATAAGTTCGACGCACGGTTTAAAAGCGAAAAGGGTAAAGGGGATTATTTGATACTGGAGAATGACTTAAACAAAGCCGACCGCCTTCAGCACTGCATGATTCTTGATCTGGTCGCCGAGGGAGTGAGAGATGACCCCAAAAATGGCATGCAATGGGCACCATTGTGGCCCAAAGACCACGATAGAGGATTCCTCTTTATGGGATCCGTCACGTCGTTGAATCAATATCGCTTGCTTTCCGACGACCACCAAATTCGGCCGGACGAAATCGTAATCAGGTCAAATCCCCGCAAGGGGAACCCGTACCCGAACAGAGTATTTGTGTGTCCTCCCGATAACCCTCTCCGGAGAACAGGCCTGGCCCGAGTGCCCCTGAAGCAGCTTGACGATAAGCTCCTTGGTGCGGTTGGGTGCGTTTAACTCGAGGAACAGCTGGACGATCGATGTCACCTCGTCTGGGGGATTCTTTATCGGGGTTTCGAATATATCTTGGTATAGTGGTATGTGGCCTCGCGTGTCGGACCCAGACGCAGTCTGCGATTTTTAATGCCATCTCGGGTTGTAATGTCTCTATTATTATAATGAGCCGGGCTGAGAGTAATATGTATCTTGCACAGCGCGGTAAACTGTTAGCTTAAGCTTGGAGATTAATTCAAATGAGGGATATTATGGGAATATTAGATATCCTGTGCAGAATGGTGAGCAACTCTGCGCTCCGAGCATGCGTCACCTTTTAGGAAAGCCGGCCTATGATGCTCATAATAGTCTAGGTATCACCTGTATATAGGACAGCAGGCCACAAACAGCGCGTGTCATCCGCACGGAGTGATAGGAAGGATATTCTTCCGAGAGAACGGGTTCAACGCTTCTCTGTGCTTTTGAGTAGAATTGCCACGTTGGAAGTGGATAGATAGCATAAGGGCGATAACCCCCCCTTACAAGTTGACAGGACGAATTTACAAGAGAGTATATTAATAATGCGCAGATGGGGAGAATAAATAAGTTTCACAGCCATGGTAGCATTACAGGGCACGAGTCAAAAAAAAGAAAAGAGAGCCGAAATCGGCAAGGCGAGTGTTAAAATTGAGGAGAAGCAACATAAGAATAAATAGATGAAACCAAGACAAAGAAATGGGAAAGAGGGAAACAGGAAGCTGGATATACATAGGGGTAGGACACTCACTTATACAACGAAAAAAACAAAAGGAATAAAGGACAAAAAAGGAAAGAAAACAAAAACCGTCTGATACCCCCATAGGTCGACCGGCAACAGCTTGAGAGAAGGAAAATAGTATGAAACGGAAAAGGAACAAGGGAGTAAAGACACAGACACAGATTCCAAAACCGTTAACTCGCTAGGCAGGGGAACCCGTTGAGGTTATGAGAAATTGAGTGGTGTGCGAGGGATTTCCAATTGGAGAGAAATTGAGGCGGATACCCCTTCTTATACAAGTCTGAAAGATTCCTCTGTCGATCGACTATCAAGTTGAAATGTCTAACCTAATATGGAGGAAAGTATGGCTTGAATTTCAAATTGGAAATTTCAGAACGGACGGGAGTGGGAGCTGTTTGAGAGATCCAGCCTTCTTCGGGAGGTTTACGCTCCTTCTCGGCTTTTGCGGTAGCTAGCCTGTTGGTAGGGTTGAAGGGCAATTAGTGGAATGCATTCTGTGACGAAAGTGGGGTAAGCGTTTAATATTATGGGACGAGGGGTGAAATAATAGCGAAGGGGGCTAATTATTTTGATAGCGGTTGAGATGGAACTTTAAAAGCTAATCACGAACCTCTTGTTCGACTTGCAACCCATCAACAACTGGGGCAAGCTCGCTGAGGATCTCGTAAGATCTCTTGTGGTACTCCAGCTGAGCCGCGATCAGATCTGCCAAATTCCGGAGTGGCTCGGGCGTATCCAAAACCTGAAATCTTTCGTCAGTAAAATATACCAACTGGAGATGAAGCACGAAACTATCAAAAGCGCGCGAAGAAAAAAAAAAAAAAAAAAAAAAAAAAGGCTCACATTCTTCATCACGCCAACAGCCTCCTCAGTCTGGCCCACAAACTCATCTTCAGCTTGCTCAATCTCAGCCCGATCTTCCTCGCTGAGGCTGTCCAAATCTCCCTTCGAGACACCCTTCCTAGCCTTAATCGAATCAAGCATCAATCTCGCATTTTCGACGTTCCTGCGGGCCTTGGCGGCGAACATCAGGTTGGTGTTCAACGTGGTGTTCCAGCCGGCCAAGAATCGGCTCTGGATCTGAGCATCCTGGGCAAGCCGTGCCTCACCAACCCGTTCAGCGGCCAGAGCATACTTTTCCAAGCCGATGGCGAGAGGGTCCTCTGAACCACTAGGGTGGGTCTGGCTGATTAACTGCGAACCAGCCAGGGAGGCACGGGCAATGGCATGGCTGAACGTTTTTGGCTGGGGCTTGGCGGATGGAGGCGCCGTGAGAGCCGCCTGGGCTTCGGCGGGGGAGGTAGCATGGGATAGGAGCTGGACTTTCTCGCTGATGGTGCGGCCAAGGTCGTTGAATGACTCTCGAATGTTGGGAGGGTAATCATAAGGCTCATTGGAGTATTGGGAGCTAGAAATTGTACAAAATTAAATATAGTATTAGTTAGATTCTGATCTGAGAAGAGGATAGATATCGTCGAATTGAATAACACCCAGATATGGACTGTATTTACATACGTAACCTGCAGGAGCTTCTGATGGACCAGCTTCAGCGCATCCACACGCTTCTCGAGCTCGATATAATCATCGGGAAGTTGTGTCTAGGAAAGATATCGCGGGTCAACCAACACGGGGGTGTCCAGGCCAATCTGCGCATTGCGGGAGTAAGGAGACGACGTACCTTCTCATCGGCGGTGCCAAGTTGTTCCTTGACATATTGCTGCGTTCTAGCTGCGAAAGGGGTAAACGACGCACTGTGTAAAACGCAGGCAAAGACGCCCATTGGTCAGAAATGAGAATCCTCAAACAACATAAAACGCTCACTGGTTGCGGGAAACGGGTACATATGCATCGCGTGTATTGGAATTGGAACTACAGTGCCTCGCCAAGTCAGGAGAGGGAGAAATGTTACCTGATGTTCTTCCCGAAGGCCTGTACTTTGTCCATGGTTGCGGGAGGGGGATTGGCCTCGGCGACAAGTCAGTATGTAGGATACTTTAAAGAGGAGTATATAGAGACAGGAGGCCCTCCCTTTTGTGCGAGATATTATCTGGCCAATGTTTGATATTATTGATGTGGTTAGTGAAGCTGTGGATGGACGTCAGTTTCAGCTACGACGCCGGGGAAACTATCCGTTTTGGGACACAGCACCGTTGGCCCTAAGTCATGTGGTCCCGCTGCCTGATTGTATTTATTGTAACAGACGGGACTCGAATCATACATCCATGGATAGTACCTAAGTCGCGGGGAATGAATTCGTGTTCATTCACATATATTAAATTTAAAATGGCTATCTATGGGTAATAGCTATGGGGTTGGTTGGTTACATCGATAGAAAACATAAGAATTACATTACGCCAGATCAATAGAACAGGCGAAGGGGAGCATATACACGAGCATGCCGTAGAGACAAGAAGAAATCATGAAGGACAGAGTCTGCACACTCATCTGTAGTTGGTGGGGACATTCCCGTCAGGTTTGGCATAAACAGTACGAGAATGCGGCTGATTCCGATGAGGAGAAGTGGGTGATTGAGCTCGCAATCAACCCTTCATGTCAACGTTGCCATCATCGCTCTGATCAGTCGAGGGCTTGGAGCTAAAACCCACAATATTAGTTTCAAAAACATAAGCGTAAACGGTTTAGAGGAAGGAATGGGGTTAGGAGCAAGTAAGATAAGAATATACCTTTAGGCTCCCGCCGCACATCGAGAGTTTCCTCAACATCCAAAGCTCCCTCCCTCTCAGACCTCAAAGCCCGCCTGTCCCGATCCAATGCCCGGGTTTCCGCTTGCGTATCTCTCCCTAACCGTCGACGATCAGGTACGATGAGCGCGACATCAGCACGGGGCTCAATGACATCCTCAAAAACGACATCTCTGGGTTCAATGATCCGGATAGGCGAGGATCGTCGGCGGCGGTGGTGGCGTACTGGAGCAGGCTCTGGTCGTGAGACGGACGGCCGGCGTGATCGAGACCGTTCAACCACTCTTGTTGCAGGCCGCCTTGAGACTGACCGCCGTCTTTCTATGCTGAGGTTGTCCCGTGGATGGCCAACGGTCAGTGTGTCTGTAATTTCCGTCGTTGCTGTATTAAAGGGATATTGTTAGCTGGAATCCCTGGGAAACAAACTCCCAAAACACGGGGTCACTAAACTATGATGATGGTGCTGCACGTACTGGCTGTCCGCCTAACTTCTCTGCTCCGGGTTACCAAGTCCTCTATATGGGCCTCCTGTAATGCTTGGAAAATGATGTAGGCATCCTCCTAAATATCATATTGCCAGTTAGTATTCTAGTCATTAAATAATCCTGACTTTAGGTGGGTAGCAGAGAATGATTCCTCACCTCTTCCTCATATTGGTAGCCAAGATCAATAATGGCCCGAGGGTGCACTAAACGTTTGGGCATACGGGTTTTGCCTCGACGTGGGGCAGTTGATGGCCGAATCTCCCTCACTTCCACTGGCTGGGGGGAAGGAGGAATGCTCCGCCCGCGGGGTCGCGGAGTTACACTCCTGTCCCGCATTCGGATGCGGTGGTATTCTTCATCCCCATAATACTCCGGCTCCGCAACTCTGATCTCCTCGAAGTCCACCTTTTCATGAGTGGGCGGTGTGCGTCTCCGATGTGGGACAGGAACTGGGGTCACCGGCGGACCATAGTCTTCGCGATCGTATTTGTCATAACCCCGACGAGCAGCCGCGCGGTCAAAAGTATCCAGTGATGATTGGCGACGGAGTAGCTGCGGGCGTACTGGGGGGCTTCGGTCTCGCTCTTCTCTCTCACGGAATGGAATCATGGCGCCTGAAGATGGGACAAGGTGTTCATCGTTGTAGGTTCGACCGGGCCTCCTGGCGGGCGGGCCGAAGCGTTCATGTGCAGCCTGGAGTAACTCGTCGACGTCCCGTCTCCGTCTTTCAGCTGGAGGAGGTCGGTCAACGATCTGTGTTCGTCTCTCTCGAGCCTGGGGCTCCTGTCGTTCCTCGCGCTCTCTAAAAAAGCGGCCAGCATCCCATCTGCCTCCCCCTCCGCCTCCACCAGAGCTGCTGGTGCTGGCGGAGGACGAATCGCCGCGGCGAGACATAAAAGAAAAGTTATTGATGAGCCCGGAGTGGAGACTCGTTATTTGAGTTCTCGGGATGACACAGACGGAAAGCAAATCTGCTACCGTGGAAATTGAGGCGGGGATGAACCAGGGACTGAGATTTGATTTGGTAAGGATGAAGAGGGGACGAAGTTATTTTGGTGCAGAACCTTGGTAAGAATATCGCGGGGTGCTTCAACTCAACGAACAAGGGGGAGGCAAGGCAAGGCAAGCGGTATATAAATTCACAAGCAAGAGGACGGTGCCGGTTCGGTCGTGAGAAGAGTTATTCCTCCAGGATGGAGGTGGACGTAGTCATAGATATTCAACTAAATATTTAGCCGAACAACGACCTGGAAGCACGGGGGTTGCGGGTGAAGCCTAACTAATTACTAGTTATCTCTCGACCAGCGAGGGGGATGAATGACGCTCACAGTGGCAACTTCCGCGCTCAGCTTGCCTGGTCTCGTGCCGCATTATATATTATAGATCTTGTCTATAAAAACAAAATATTGTAAATAACAAACAGATGCGAAACAAACCTGCGATCTTGTTTCATCCAACCTCCCTCAGCGCTGGCTATAATAGTTGCGAGCCAGCCACATCTCCCTTGGCCTGCGCCTATCGAGGCGTCGTCTGTCTCAAACTCTCGATCAACCAAACTTCGTTAACGCCCTGGCTGCCCAACTGCTGCCATTGACGAGAAACTGCTTCTCGTTCATCCGTTTTTATCTGTCTGTGGTCCTATTATTTAAATTTGAGCAGCCAGGGTTAGCTCGTCAGTCAAATATCGCTCTTGTTAGGACCATCGAGGCCCTTGTGTAGATTGCCCTGTTCACACCATTCGGGATAAATTCCTCGCGTCTTCATTAGCCGCCCTCGTTTTGCAGCTACTTTGTCCCTTTCAATGTTTGTTTCTGTCGTTGTACCCCACAGATTCGTCTGCTGTGTGCATGTCTTCTCTGCTGGTCAAGCAAAGAGGGTAATTGTCCGCCAATTAGCCTGGTTGCGCCCGACGGTGACACGACTGATTCGCTGATTGATAGTAAAAAAATGCATCACCGTTTTCTCCGTGCACAACGTCTGATGCTTTGCTTCCCTTTGCCATTTCATAAGTTGATATGTGGTTGGCCTGGAAATATCCAGCATCCGCTTTGGATTTCCTCAGCGCGCCCACAGGTGCATACTGCAGAGTCAATTTGGCTCTCGTTTGCCTCGTCCACAATGAAGGACTGGCTGTTATGAATATGCATAATTGATACCCCATCCAGGCCAGACAGCTGCGACATCTCCATATCCTCGGCGCATCTATTCAGACTTCCTGCAGTAGCCATCATGTTAGCCGGCTCGACGTGGTCATCAATACATACTTTTGAGAAGCACAGCAGTTAGCGCAGGCCTTATTTCAATCGTCCACGGCCTACGGAGGATATCCCGACTGCATGTGGCTGTTCGTTGTATGCACCGGAACTCTATCATCTGTTCCCCCGAAATCTAAGGAACCAGCCCAATTTTCAGGTTTCCTATTCACTATGGGACACAAGTTCCTTGCTGTAAACCCTATGCTGAAGGTGGTAGTGGGTAGTTGCCCCAGATAGTCCAATTGTTCCACTTACAGTGTGTGTGTGTGTGTGTGTGTGCTAATGGAGTGGACCACCAGAATAGAAAAAGCAAATATAGATATCATCAGCAGGACATCCCTTGGTTTCTATATTATTGGGTTCTGCCCACGCTTCAGAATCTATTCTGTTATTTCTCGCCCATAGGATATTTTCCCCAATGACCTGTCATGTGGCTGAAGGCAATCTGTGCCAAAGGATACCTTACCAACAACATCCTCCCGGGCAACAGACGGTTAGATGGAAACACATTGGGTATAAACAGTTAGATCTGTTCTTATCTGCTATGGAAGGCATCACCGCTCTTTGCTTTCTATCATCTATGACGGCTCTCCTTGCTGAAACTCTGCTGCTTGACATTTGACTCCCGGCCACCGGCAAATCATGAGGACCTCCATCGAAATCCCAGAACTTCCGTCTCAGTGTGCCCCGGAACACCTGAAGTACATGAGGATGCCGTCTAGACAGCACATATGCGGGATCCGATTCACAGCACTCGACGCTACTAATCTAAGACTCCTATTTCGAATCCTTGAAATATACTACATCCATCGTCTAATTCACCCACTTTCAAGGCTAACTAACCAGCCCGCACAGTGAGCCTCTATTAGCCTCCAAACTTTGACGGTCGATACATTGATACTGCCCAACAACCCCCCTAGATACTATAGAAATCACTTCTATGAGAAGAGAATACGGTTGCAACCCTAGTACCAGAGCCTCACGAGAAGGGAAAGGCTTTACCATTCACGCTCGGTTCGGATATTACGCTGGGGATGGATGTCTGATGTCGACCTATACATCGGTTTGCCCACCGCGTGACGCATACTTTGATGTCATCTGGATCCAGTGAGGAATGAATCCCGAGTTTGCAGCGCCCGACTGCACCAGCTTAGGGGAATCTGCCCGTCCTGGATCTATGGGAGGCATGTTTCTCTCTATCTAGAAACGTCTGTCTTCACATATCGTTGACAATTAAAATATCAACCATCATGTGTCAGTCAAAACATTCCTCCCCTGTTTTTTTCACTCCTAAGGAGGAATTTAGCCCTGTTATTGTAGTTTCTTTTCTTTCTTTGGTTTTCTAGTGAGTACAGAGGAATATTCTGCAGATGAGCGATTTCCGGATGTGAACCAGTCTCATATTAACAACACCTGGGGTGCATATAAAATTCCAATTCCGTCAAGCGCGAGCGCACAGAAGGCCCGAATCCCTTCGCTTTTGTCCCTCTCTGAGTGTCCTGGAGGCGCATGGAAGCTGCAATTGGAGCATATCTGGTAAATTCTACCCCTACCTTGGCGCCCTTAATATATCACAGTTTGCCAAACATCGCACCCCTAGTAGCGGACTCGCTGGATAAATTGTTGGGCAAAGATCTAGTTTCTAGTGGTGATGGGTGTGTACAGGACGGTGTGGCGGGCAGCGAGATTTGGGAAGGGCCTGTTAAAGTAGTAAGTAGTGCAATCTGAAGAGCTTTAAGAAGTGAGAAGAGTGAAGCCAAGTTTTCAATTCCTCGAAATTTTGGCAGGTAAAAAGCTCAAACCGAATTATGGAAATTGAGTCTTATGGTAATGAGAACAGAACTCATGGCCTCTATTTTCAAGAAATAGCGAAGTTTGCCGCACTAGGGGGGGGGTTCGGAGATATATGAGGCTCCGGCAGCTATGATGACTTGGGAGTTGCGGATAGGTTGTAGCAGAGAGAGACAGATAGGCGTGACCAGCAGCATTGAACAGCAACAACTGCTCAATCATCGACAACACCCCTCAAAAAATAGCATACATTCCTTGCTAGTAACAAAACATGGCAGAACAAGTAGCCTGGATTGGTCTGGGGAATATGGGACGGGTATGTAGAGAGCTATATTTAAAGGCCCAAGAAATAGCTTTGTATACAACTAACCAAACCCACTTCAGATCCAGGGGATGGTCAGGAACCTCGTCGCCAAATATCCCCTCCAAACTCCCCTAATAGTCTCAACAGAACCCAATCTCGCGCAAGGGACGTAGCTTCCACGCTGGCCAGACCCGTCACCATTGCCCCAACCGTCACAGAAGCCGTCGGATCTTCCACAATCATCTTCACCTGTTTCTCAGACGATCACGCCGTCATTGAAACACTTTAAACAGCTATAAGCACCTGCAACATAGCCGGAAAGCTATTCATAGACTGCTCACCGGTACACCCGGACACTACACGGCGTGTAGCAAACTTAGTAGAGTCACATGGAGGGTTGTTCGTGGCATGCCCTGTCTTTGGCACCCCTCCCGCCGCTGATGCAGGATAACTGATATGCGTGCTGGCTGGGAAGATGGAGTTGGTGGAAAGGGTTAAGCCATTCTGCGCGGGCGTTATGGGGCGGGCAAATCTAGACCTGTCAACTTCACCAACCGGTGGCCCAGCTGGCAATGACGATAATGACGAGGAGGAGCCAGCTGTAGACCCTAGACGAGCAAGCTTGCTCAAAGTCCTAGGTAACTCGCTAGGCCTAAATATGGTGGATGCAGTCGCCGAGGCAATGACGATAGCTGAGAAATCTGGCCTTGGTGTTGACTCACTGCACAACTTTCTCGAACTGATGTATCCGGGTTCCTATGTCGCCTATTCCAACCGCATACGCTTGGGGGAATACCATAGGCGTGAGGAGCCGTTGTTTGCGATAGATTTGGCCCGGAGGGATGCGAGGCATGCAATGGATGTGGCGAGCGCTGTTGGTGTGGGGATGAAAGGGCTTGAGCTGGCGGATGGGATGGGTATTTGCAAGGTATCAAGAAGCATAAGGGGGAGAAGGGAGACCTTTCGACCATTTATGGGGTGGTGAGAGAGGAGGGGGGCTTGAAATTCGAGAATTAGGGAAAGGGGGAAATTCTTGAGTTTCATCTGCTATGAGGCCTCAAACCCTGGGTAGCTAGACCGGCTTGGTAGACTGGAAGGAATGCTTGTCTGTTCAACATTAGGATGATGTAATTGCTCTAATAAAAATAATAATTTTAACACATCTAGAATTACCTAGGTACCTTATTTAACTACAGCAATCAATCGCTTCCCCTAACTAACCCAACCTTCCATTGCCCCTATATGCGTGGGCGCGATTTTATACCGAAATCTAAGTATCCCAACCATTATTGTACCCAAAAGCCCTTATCCGCCGCCAGCAAGAGGGTCGTAGTCCGCACAAGAAGCTCTGATCACATGGTTAAAATTCAATTGTAAAAAAAAGATGTGCAATAAAATTAAAGGCCTCAAGCGATTGATTAAAACATTAAAGGCAGTTAAGAATATGATACCAACCTTCAATCTCAACGTCGTAACAGACAGGGTTATTCCCATCGTCATTGTCGCCTTCATCGGCCTCATCACTCCCAGAATCATCTGTAAACGACAGGTTTTCCGTTCGCCTCTGTTGACAGGCGCGAAACTTGAGTCCAGCCCGTTTTTCTCCAAGCCAGACGACGCTATGGTCTTCCAAGGGATAAACCGGTGACTCTCCACCACGATTCTCGCTCCTTACCTCCAATGTATAGTAACTCTTGCCACCACCACCACCACCATAGCCTTTGGCCGGGCTTGTCGATGCCATTTTTCCTGCGAATTTCCCTCTCCTATCCATATCTCCCAACCACTGTCTCCAAAGTCTTAAAACACCACCATCAAGTAGACATATCTGCCGATTCTGTCTCCCAAGCCAAACCCCTGTAATAAGCTGCGAGAATAACTCATTCTCATCAAGAAAAATGGAGCCTCTGATGAGCGTGCTATGAGTTTGTTCCGAACTCAGAGAGCCCACTGGTATGTACCGCGGCGGAGGAGCCGTGTGCATGTTGGTGTTGATCCACGGTCCAGTATGACACAGCGGATGAAAGTGGGTGTAGGACTCTTTCAAACGGCCCAGATATCCTACTGATGAAAACTTTGACGAGTCAATTTGGCTGCGATGGAGATGCCAGTCCTTCTGTGTGGTGTCATTGCTGTGGGGGCATGCGCCGTTAGTTAGGACGTCAGTGTGCAAATGCGCGCATTTCAAATACCGCCCTACGGGTTTGCAGACTGGGTGGTAGCATTCGAGGAATATGTTATCGGGTTCGATAGCTGAGACGAGGGCATTCAGGCGGTAATGGATGAGGCGCGTGATGATGTCATGGATGCGATGGCAGACAAGGGTTAGAGGGAGGAGGGAGCGGATCGGGAAGAGATCGAGAATAAGTTGGATGAGCTGGCAATAAAATTGTTACTTGAGAGATGTAGATTGCAATGGGAATTCAGGAAGTTTGGCTGGCTGTTAAATAAAGCGCGGAGTACATACCTCGTTTGGAAGAGACAGGAGCGTGGCTCTGTGGTGAGTCGACGGCTTCGCTGCGGTTAACATGGCTGATACTAACAAGAGACCATACAGTTAATTAGCCAGAGATGTCTGTTCAGGTGTTTGTATCCGTGTAAGGGATCTTCTGCCTTCCTATCATAACCTCACCTGCCATCCCCATTCATGTACGTTCCAGGTGGGTGGTTATTCGACTAATAATAGAACAACACTATCCATGTGAGCTGCATTATTTAAAATAAAACAAACATGCTGTGCACTTACACTCCGGCCTATCACTAGTAGTGCACTCACTCTCACCAGCCGAAATCCTGGGTTGTGATTGGAGTTGTTTAAGGGAAAGGGTCTAGGAAATAATACAGAAATCAACAGTGGTATCCTATCCAGCGAGGAATGACGTAGTTTTGGTTGAATGAAGAACCCCGCCGTAAGTTTAACTTATCCGGCCGAGGTTTAGAACATGTTCAATCAACTCTTATGATTAAAGCTCCATTCAAACTGATACGCTGATTCGTAGACCCTTGTGTTGTTTAACTAGCTCATGGTTGAGTGCTCTAAATTCATAGAACTCCTAGCTGCTTCTTGACTCAAGGAGAGGAGGGTACAGTACATGCACACAACAAAGCTTTGCATGGCCTTGCCCTCCCTCTATGCAGATTTGATCGCATCTAATCTTTTCTATGGCGCCTCGCGTTGTTCCATCTCCAGGTAGTGCACCAAGTATATCCCACGATGCCCAACAAGCGTACGGCACTCTCAAGTCCGGGGGTGTTATCATCGCCCCGACGGATGTTGGCTATGCACTCATGACCAGCACTCAAGAGGGTATCCAGCGGATCTTTGCTTCGAAGCTCCGCCAACCTAATCATAATATTGGAATTATTGGAACGTATCGACAGCATCGGGAGCTCCACGTTTTACCGGAATCGAAATTTGAAATGACCCGTGTAGTGACAGAAGACTTGGGGATGATTGTGGGACTTATCGCGAAATTCAATTCTCATAGTCTGCACCCGCGCCTCGCAGCTCTGGACAAGGCCACGTTCTCTCAAGTTACTAAGGGAGATACGATCAGTATTGCCGTTCCAGAAGGCCGATTCTTGCAAGAACTCGGCCGGCTTTGTGACGAAGACCCTCAGGGTATTTTAATGTTTGGAACCTCTGCAAATCTGACCGGTCAAGGGCAGCGGTTCCGCGTTGAAGACATTGAACCCCCCGTCCGTGAAAGCGTCGATCTAATCGTTGACTACGGCCTGCAGAAGTGGCACATATACGGTCGGGGCGGGGTCAACTTTGATGTTGAGAACATGCGAGTCGTACGCATGGGGGCGGGTTACGAAGTTTTCCGGGACAGGATCCTGAGATGGTTTCCCCACCTGGTGGAGGAAGCGGGTATCAAACTTGACCAAGCTCCTGACCTTCGATTGACATAGGTATAGATCTGTCGAATGCTCTGCCTGATCTGTTTTCTATCATGTTTGGTGGAAAGAGCCACATCAAAATGAAGTATCTGCTGTATGATGGCTTGAATTTGATAGAAATGAGCTGAGCAACTGTGAGTAGTGGGTAATTAGAATTGCTGGCGAATATTGGCTAATTTAACTTAATTTGATAATGCTTCTGAGAACTATTTAGTCTGATAGATAAAATATAGGTTTTAATTTAAGCTATTTCCTTTTATATCAAAGATCCCAGTCCAGTCAGAAATTTTGCGTAGGAGTGAGTTGATGTCTAGCGTTGAAATAGTTATAAGCCTATCCTACTAACAGTTGTTCTTTGTATTCCTAGTAAATGATAGAAACGTCATACAACAGCTATTTAACTAGTTAGTTAGTTAGTTACGTTAAGCTATTCATAAAGTTCAGTAGTCTTCGACGTCATTGGTGGGATAGTTCCCCGCGCGGGGGTCTGCTATAGTTTCCCGAACTTGCGCGGCTGTAGTATATCAGATGGTTAAATATCGAGGCTGCAAAGAAAAAAGGGTCTTGAAATATCTTCACAACCGCTTCATCCTCATTGGTTTCTAATTTATTTGGAGAATCGCATCTTCATCCGGAATTTTTCTGAGCAGAGAAAACTATCAGAAAAAAATGGTGGAATCCGTTCTCGACGACATCTCGCATCGAAGATACAACATCTTGCGTGGTTCCTACGTCCTGGTATCCCCGCACCGTACAAAGAGGCCATGGCAGTAAGCTTTGCTCCCAACACAAGAGATTCGTCAGTACACAGTATGGCCTCTGATAAATTATTCATAGGGGTCAACAAGAATCCCCGTCCAAAACCGCTTTGCCAGTCTACGACCCTGCCTGCTACTTGTGCCCTGGAAACAAGCGGGCGCAAGGTGATCAGAACCCGCAATACAAGAACACGTTTATATTCATAAATGACTTCAGTGCGGTCAAGGAGGAGCAAGCTGCGTATCAACCAGAATCGGACCATGACGGTACGTAGAAGAAAACGCCATCCATTCATTCACCCTCTATACGATGTTTGTTGAGAGGTGCTAGCTTTGCTAATGATGTTTGTGGCCCGACACCCCTTGCAGACCTTTCCTCTCTATTCCTCCAAGCCGAACCTGTCACGGGAAGATGTTATGTCCTCACATTCTCCGCCAGTCACAATCGCACCCTCGCAGATCTCTCTCCAGCCGAGATCAAGCCTATCATCGACACCTGGACGGATCTATACGTCTCTCACCTATCGCCAACATCCCCATTAGCAGCAGCCGCTTCGCTCACGCCCATATCGCCAGAGTCACCGGTTTCTCAAATAACGCTACCAAAAAAACAGCTCCGCTACATGCAGATATTTGAAAACAAAGGCTCCACCATGGGTTGTTCTAATCCACACCCACACGGACAAGTCTGGGTGCTCAGCTGCCTCCCTGAAGAACTTACGATAGAACTAGCCCAATTGCAGAAATACCGTCATGAGAATAATGGCAGGCACATGCTGCAGGATTACGCTACCCTCGAGTCACGAAAGAAGGAGCGCGTGGTATTCGAGAATGAGCTGTTTCTCGTCCTTTGTCCATGGTGGGCGACCTGGCCCTTTGAAACCATGATAATCAGCAAAAAACATAAGCGCGCCCTTGTCGATCTGACTACAGTGGAAAAGGGACTACTAGCTGAGTCAATTGCCGAAATCACACGGCGGTATGATAACTTGTTTGAGACGCATTTTCCGTACAGCATGGGTATCCATCAAGCGCCGCTATGCGGTTCTGAAGAGGAAATCGACGCATCCCATTTGCATTTACATTTCTATCCTCCGTTGTTGAGGAGTGCGTCTGTGAGGAAGTTTTTGGTTGGGTTGGTGTATCCTATCCACATATATATACTGAGCAATAAGGGAAGCGATTTTCTCTTTGGATGATGGCTAACCAGGCGTCGTATAGGTACGAAATGCTTGCGGAACCCCAACGGGACATCACGCCTGAGCAAGCAGCTGCTCGACTTCGGGATTGTGCTGGCGCTTTGTATCGCGATACATTAAACAATCAACCCCAGTAATTTTTGGAATAGATCAACCGGCATGTATATTGGAAGATTGTGTATATCTATTAATGTCGTCAAGGAGTCTTTTCGGTATAGAAGTGGTTTTAGCATAACTAGATATTATATTCTATATATCGTTGATGTCCAATCCAGAAGGCAGAAACCAGTAGTACCACACTTCAAACAACAATAGCTCTATTTCATTTCAATTTTCCAGTCAACACTGGTATATACCTAGGTAACACCATACCAAGTAAACCCGATTACCTATAAAAATAGATCTGAAAATCCCAATTAGAGTACATAATCTCAGATTCTGTTCCTTACACAAACTCCCCACCTCTTCAAAATACACCCACCCACACCCACCCACGTCAAGACAAACCCAAGCCTATCCCAAATAGAAACCCCTCTGCGTCGCCATCCACGCCAGCGTCCCACTAGCGACGCACAGCGGGTTTAAAAACCGGCCCTTAGGCTTCGCGCTCCCGAAAATCAACCATTCGCTCACAAAGTGCGCAAAGGCAGTTCCAAACGTCCACATGGCCAGGTCGTACATGTGAGGCTCGTTGATGTGGAAGGCAGCGTACGCGCGGACGACAGCAGAAATAAAGGTCCAGGTGCCAAAGGTGCGCGATTGCAGTGCGTTGAATGGGCTATTATTGTATAGCAGGGCCGTGTATGTTGGGCTGATGAGGGCGCGGGAGGTGTTTAAGGTGGAGACGACGGCGAGCTGCAGGTTTTTGGTTTTGTGCGATTAGTTTTTCCAGTTACTTTTCTCATTGAATAGGGAAGCCTTGAGGAGAGTTGAGATAAAGGGGTGAGTGATATTGAATGGACCAGGGGCCCTTAGAGAGGGGACATACGAAAAGGAGCCATTTGGGGAGAAAGCCCTCATGCTGCGGGAGGTAGGAGAGGAGAGAAGACATTTTGATAGAGCTGACGGATTCGATTGCCTTCACAATTTTAACGATTTGGACGCGTTTAATACACTGTGATCTCTGTGAATTTGCAGAGGATCTGGACTGACGAGAGTTGATATGTTTATCTAAATAGTTAAATCTCCATTGACTTTAATTTCCATTATCTGAGCCCTGTTTTCAGGGATTGAGTTGTATTAGCGTAAATAGCTTCTGTATCATACGGTACCGTACGGAGTACCACGGGCTGCCATTTGTATTTTCTCGGACGTATTTATCTTTCACCAACAACCATAAATACGCAGTTTTGTTGACAATAAATAACAATATTTATCAAAAAGAGCAGGCTTCATCTTGGCAAAACATCCCGACGGCGCTGTCAACCATCCTCCTATCCCGTGACGGAATATCCCACCCCAACAGCTTACTTTTCACTGACTGAAAAGATCCGTAAGCGAAGCAATGGGTTTGGCCTGCGCCTGTATGGACCGTCTGTCACAGTTCCGCTTCGCCCCAGCCCCTGGTTGGCAGTCGAATGCGGCTCTATTCCTCCTCTTGACTGGAGGATTGTTCACAGCATGCAAATTGTTTAACGTTTTCCGTGCCCTACTCAGTATTTTCATCCTGCCGGGGCAGAAGGTACGGCCATTCCCAGCTCCTACTCTCTTGCACTCCCTTGTCTACGAGCATTGTCACTTAACAGTTTATTATCTGTTCCGTCGAATCTAGCTCTCCAAATTCGGACCAAAAGGAAGCTGGGCACTTGTCACCGGTGCCTCAGATGGAATTGGCAAAGAATTCTCTCTCCAGCTCGCCCGCGCGGGCTACAATATCCTCCTCGTCTCGCGTACGACTTCGAAACTAGATGATGTCGCCAATGAAATCAAGAGCAAGTCCCCCAGCGTACAAACCAAACTCTTCGCAATGGACTTCTTTGAAAACAACGATGACGACTACGAGAAACTCAAGCTCTTGATCCAGGATCTCGATATTTCCATCCTCATCAACAACGTCGGCCGCAGCCATAGCATGCCAACCCCATTCGTCCTCACCCCGCTCGAAGAAATGGAGAGTATAATCACCATCAATTGCATGGGCACCCTGCGCATCACCCAGCTGGTTGCACCGGGAATGATGCAGCGCAAGCGTGGGTTAATCATGACCATGGCATCATTTGCCGGCATGATTCCTACCCCGCTGTTGGCTACTTACTCCGGGAGCAAGGCATTCCTGCAATACTGGTCGATTGCCCTAGGCAGCGAGCTGAAGCCGTACGGGGTGCAGGTTGAGCTTGTTCAGAGCCACCTAGTGACATCTGCCCTGTCCAAGATCCGCAGGCCCACCGTTACAGTTCCCGTTCCGCGCAACTTTGTTCGAGCAGCCCTCAGCAAAATTGGTCGCGGGAGCGGTTTGTCGGCATACGCGTATACCTCTGCGCCCTACTGGAGTCATGGTGTGATGGCATTTGCTCTCACGCAAGTTCTAGGACCCATGGGTAAACTCGTTCTGGGTTATAATAAAGCCTTCCACGAATCTATTCGAGCACGTGCGCTACGGAAGGCGGAGCGCGAGAGGAACAAGAAATCTACTTGATTTACACCTCATGATAGTTTGTGTACTTTTAGCCGTCGGAAGCTGACTCCTCCGTGGGAACGATGGGTTTCTTGGGAATAACCGTCCTAAAAAAGGGCGCTGAAGTGGGACAGTATGGCCATAACTATTTTTTTTTTCTCCGGGAAAGGTTAAAACAGGGATTCGGAACTTGTCTCAGAGGAATAAAAACGAAATTAATAAAAGGGTAGATAGATGTATTACAACTATGTTCTCGGGCCGACTGGAATAGGCAGAGGGGGCTTTTTCAGATCTGTCAGAGTGTTCTTTTGCCGTCCAATGTTCGCATCCGCATTATGGATGAATTATAATATTAGTTGATGTTAGAGCAGTTTAATATGGTATTCAGCATTCTTCCAGACTCCGTCCCACCCCCCTCATCTGGCGTTGTCCTGCGTTCGATGTCTGCTATTTTTCCAAAACCTTCGGCATCGACACAGCGCGCACGGCGCTTAAGTTCGTAAGCGCGCGTTCCCAACTTTGGCTCAGGACCGGTCCCGAACACTCGGAACCATTTTTAACCTTTCACCCAAACAAAGGACAATATCACAACTTCAACTTCTGCTCCGGAATAAAGCAGGTATTCGTTTAAACTTTAACTGTTTCCTTTCCACTGTTTCGCGAGTATAGACATGCATGGGCATGAGAGGTTAACAATGCTTAGCTTGGAAGCAAGGGTTTGGTGAAGGGTGGGATTTGCCGCGCCTCTGAAGTATTGGCCAAAGTAACAAAAGGACCTAAAACATATTACTATGATATTAGTAGTCTAATAAATTGTTTTTACTACTTCTCTAACTTCTTCTACATAGTAACATAGGCTTGGTTAATTCCATATAACATGGTGGCAATCAAAGCGAGCTACGGCAACAATCAATCGGCACGACTTACGGATCCTATTCGATCTTATATCACAATGGACCGAGAGCAAAGTACCGTCTGTACTACTAAAAACTTGGTTTAGTTTGTTTCTACGGGAAATAATAATGTCGGGCAAAGGAATACGTTACTTGGCTGTTACAGAACAAAAGTACGGCAGTCTCCTTCAAAATCCTCTCTCGTTAGAAGAAGAGCTGGGGCAAGAAAGCGACCAGCGATGGTATCAACCGTTTATCAGCACCCATTATTCTTTCACCGACTCGGCGACTCCCTTCCAATGACACAATTTAGGAACGCGAATTAATTGGGCATCCTGTTATGTCTCAAATCCCCCTCCCTTTTCAATTCGTAATTCGAACTTTAAAGAAGGTTGTGACTATCACCAGGGAACTATACCACAGAATAAATTTCAACCAACTAAAATAAAATAAAAAGCCCAGTCACAGCATGACGCTGAGCTGACGGAACGAATATAGCTCCACATCCCACGCCCCGAACTGGCAAACTGCCGTTAAACATCAGGACTAAACGGCTCTCTGATCCGTTCATGCGGAGACTTCATGACTTTTTTTTTTTTTTTTTTTTTTTTTTTTGGAAGTATTATTGTTCGCTCGCTCGCCCACCCACCCGCTGGCAACGCGGATTTCTGGGTCTCGGGAAAAGTCGATGTGAGGGGGAAGGGGTTGGAGGGGTGATGATAGTCATCAATAATAATAATAATAACTTAATCATAAGACATCCCAGAAGTTGAAATGATTAAGCGCAAGTTGAACTGCTTGCGCAGTAAATCGACGAACATAGGTTTCAAGTGAGGAAACTGTCAGAGAGTGCCCGGAACCCAGGTACCTAACTAAACTGTATTTCGAGGCAACAAGATCTCTGTCCTACTTTGGTAGTAGGAAAGAAACAACAATTCAAATTAAATCAAAGGCCAAATGAAGTTTGCGTCTCTTCTCATGGGAGGCTTTTGGCCGACCGACCTCGACTAAGACTGCAACCCTTCCCTTTCCCACTCATCAGGCCCCACGAGCGAGGCCATTGGTAGGCCCCAAGCCAATCCCGAACGCTCATGTTTGAGCCAATAATAACCAGACGCCAATGCATCGTTGAATCATGGTACTGGGTTTCAAACCCTAATTCGGACGGATCCCGCATTGTCGCGAGTTATTGATGCACATTTGCTTCAGCTTGTCAATTTGGGAGTAAAAAAAAATTTGAAACAAGGTGAAATAGTAAAAACTTCGACGTCATTCTTGCAACAAGTTCGACTTCAACTGCCAAGCCACATGGTTGATCAGATCAGCAAGCCACACGGTAGTTATGTATTCTGCAGAACGAATGGAAGTAGCATAACTCGCCAATATAATAATATACATAGATTATATCCTTTCCAACCAGGGCGGGGGAAAGGGTGATGGAGGCCCCGAAGGGCCAAAAACTACCCAAGACCCTAGTGTAACAGCAACTTCGACGCCTAGATGTCTTCTGGTGCGTGCTCCATATGCCTCACCCAAGCAATAATAATAATACCCCATCGCCGTAAAGTAATCTGCCTGTAACGTCTGGAAAGTTCCAGGTGACATCCTCCACTCTGTTAATCTCAATATTATGCCAAACAATCAGAGTGGATATCCCCACCACGCAGCCTGATATCCTTCGTTGAGACCGAAGAAATTTGTAGATATCGCGACGTCGTCACCGCACGGATATCCCACCGACCCCACCAATCCTACACAAATAATATACCACTTCTTGGTGATCAGGCCCTGCGAATGTGCAAATAAACGGCTCTCCCGCTGGAAGCTCTGAGCCTAAATCCCGAGCTTAGAGAGCTAATAGCCGTAACGCGTCCACGCATTGATTATTTGGCGGGGGATTTGTATTTGTAGAGGAGTAATGAGAACTAGATTCCAGGCGGAATGGAATGGTAAGGGTTACTCAGGAAGTGACTAATAACTAGATGAAATCGAATAAGTTGAATCTGGAAAAAGGCACAATTTCAGGACAGCCTTTAAGCACAATATCCCATAATTCGCGAAAGGGATAATTGTGAGATGTTGCAAAAGCATTCGCTTAACCGATAAATGAAGCAACAATGTACGGAGTAAGCAAGTTCGATCCAAAAGCTAAAATAACTATAGGCTGTGTGTGTGCTTCGGTTAGATGGGTCTCGTGCTACACCGTGCGCATGGACAGAAACTGCAAACGCCACGCAGGAGAAAAAGGAAGTTGCTGCGGAAAAAGGAGCAGATTGAACTCAGCGTTAAAAAAAAGGGGGTATTTTGATGCTCTTGTTCAACAATCTCGGATCATTTTTTGAGAAAGAATGAACTTTTTCTATTGTAGTGTAGGCACCACTTGAACAGTATTGATGTCAAGTCAGTGACTTCTGAACATTGAAATTAGAGTTCCCTTATTGTCAACAGAGAAATCTAAATTTATTTTCCTCACTTTCCTCCGTTCCGTACAGAAATGAAATGGCACCTGGAATATCCAAGATCGCTCTGCCTATTTGAAAAATAGGTCGCGCCTTTTAGCTTCGGTCTTGAAAGGAGAAGCATATCCTGGCGAAAGGAAGGATGCCACGTCAATGGTGGGCCGCGGGTCGAAATGTTGAAAGTCGACGTACGGGTCGATAAGAATTCGCATTATGGCAACCATCGTTAGACAAGTGGGTCTGGGCTGAAAAGGACCCGACAAACTGGGAGGAGATTTGACACCACACCGGACAAATAATTACGTGCAGCAGATGACTACGTAAATATCGTTCAATTCGAGTTTGGCTTTCAATTTAGTTCGATCAACGTTTGCTCACCGCCTACTGATGAGACTTCATAGACTTTCATTCGTCGTGTTTGTGGTCCCAGCTTTTTAAATTTAATTTCGCGAACTGCAAAACAAGTGCATAACGCTTGGGCGTTCGAGGGACCAAGTTCAAAAAGGATAGAGTTCAAGGCACCAATGGTCACCGCGTGGACCAGAATAAAAGGAACGAGGGCGAGATTGTTATCTTTTTGGACCGAAGACAGAGGGCACCGCAAAAGTTTCTCTCCTTGGTTTTGGTGTTGACGACAAGGACACGCCAACCGCAGGTCCAGGTTGGTGATATGCATCATAAGTGGACATCCATGGATAAAGTCGTGTTCGGTTCCCGCGCTATGCTACACACCTGTCAGGAATCATGTTAATTTGTGAGTTGTTCTTCCTCAATAAACATCCTTCCCTTCTATTCAGTTGAAGCTAAACCGACTGCCATATTGATCGCTACTGTCCGATCCATCTCAAAGTTGCAGTCTGGGACCAACCGAGACTGGCAATATATTGGGGTTATTCCGTATCCACATTTCATTTTCATTTGTATTTTTTCCCCGGCAAGTAGTTGGTTCCGTTGTCGACGGACACGGGATAGGGAGTTGGAAATCCCAAGTCCATGTCACTGGGAAGAGAATAGAACACGCCTAGAATTCTATGGCAAGTGTCGCAACCGAGAATAGAGGTCTCGATGACGTGTTGTTGCACCTGACAATGCGGGTTAAAGGCTCAATCACTATCATCAATCCTTGTCCCAACCCCGGTCCCACCTGAAGTAGAATTTCTACCGACGGGAAGGCTTTCGTTGTGGGACGAATAATGGAATTTATCTGAATTTTGAGAGGGGCCTGAGAGTCCTAGTCAGATTTCTGATTCGAAACCACCAACCCAAAGGCAATGCTCAAGAGTGTGCAGCCGTTTTGAAAAGGAACAGCCTCCGGCCGTCATACCACAACCATGTGACTTTGGATTCACCAATCGTCAGCTCTGGTAATTTGGACTTTCGAAAGACATTTCTGCAGTCCAGTGGTATGAAAACCCAACTAGTTAAGGCCAGTTTAACATGGCTCTCTCCATCCAGTTCGCCATTAGTTTCTCCCCGTTTAACCATGCATATCGCTTTGGCCCGGTTGTAGGAGCGTTATTAGCCATTTTCGCCTTAATTTTATGGAGCCCCAAGACCACGAATTCGACTAAGAGCAAAGCGAACATTGCTGGCGATGAGGGAATCGCACGGGAAATAGGCGGAGAAGAGGAGCCTTGCGGATGGTCAGTAGATGTGACGGGCAGTCAGTCGCGACTGGATTTCTCCGACGCTCAACATCCCTAAGATTTTCTTTTCCAAGATTGATGCAAGACAGGGGTACGCACTGCGGAACAAAAAAACTGTACAATATAAAAGTCCGGTTGATCTGAACCGAATGCGACGCTATCCTGAACAAATCTAAGCTCAATCCGTTTCCGCATCTAACAGTAACTTCAGTGACGCGAAGGCATCAGTGCAAAACGAAAGGGGTATTGTACTTCATCAATTTTTGACCGCACTCCAACCTCAACCAGAATATTAGTCGGTACCATTCGTGCATCAGAAAATACCATTCCAGAGTCAATTTTCTCTCCTTCCTCCAGTCCTGGATACTCGCAATATATCGGGAATATATTCCGAAATAAGGCTAAGATCATGTACCAAAATCCCGTTTTGTGATTCCGTGATTCCCGCAAAGTGCAAAATAACTGACGCCAGTATTGCTTCTCAGGAACCCGGAATCTGGAACCACGGAATTAGACGAATGTTTCCTTGAACTAATCACATATCAAGGGAGAGAGTTTCAAAATTACTCTGTGGAAAATGCCATTTATTTTGGGCCTATCGACGATGTAAGGCTCATATCAAACACTTCATCTATTGCCAGAGTCCGTCGGCTGACAGAATGTAGGATGAAATTGAACGACTGGAGCTACAACATCGCGTTCTCAGCACAGTTTTCGACGAGCGATTGATATTTCCTCCAGTGGACTCGCCAAAACGAGTTCTTGATTGCGGTTATGGGACCGGAAGTTGGGCTGTCGAAGTTGCGGAAAAATATCCATCTTGTGAAGTAGGTACTGATGATGCGCTCACAGTGACCCATGCTAATGCCATTTGAAGGTTATCGGGGTAGATATATCTCCGCACATGAGGCCGGATGAAACGCCTGAGAACCTATGGCTGCAGGTCAGTTGAACATGATAGTTTCGGGTACCTCGCCTTGGGTCCCCGTTAATTTATAGCCCTGCGATTCAATTGTCAAGTCACATACCGGACGCTGGGCACTCGAGACGAAAGTCTCGGGGGTACCACCAGACTTTCATTCTACCCCATCCATCGGGCGATTTCCTTGGCTAACTTTCTTCTCGTAACTAGGTTGATGACTTAAATCGACCGTTCACATTTAAACCAAACTATTTCGACGTTGTTCACTCCAGGCTTGTCGCTTCCGGATTGCATAGACAGAGATGGCCGAGCTATATTAGGGATATAAAAAAGTAAGCAGCTATCCTAAACCCACTTGAATATATAAAACTATACAAGCACGATTGAAATAGGTAGTTGCACTGAGGGGAATAGTCCGACTGATCAAATCATCCTCACAATTAGAACGCTGAGACGTGGCGGTTGGGTACAAATGGTCGAAATATACTTCAATGTACAATCAGATAACGGTACTATTACCCATGATCACGCCTTGAGGCAGTGGAGTTCGAAATATTTTCAAAGCATCGAGGACGTGAAAGACCCTAGAGTTGCAATGAATTTGAAAGGCCTTCTGGAATCTGCCGGGTTCGCCAATATCCAAACGACATTGATTAATGTCCCTTTGGCTCCTTGGCCAAATGGTAAGCGTATTGAACGGCCGTTTCCTGAACGAATGCTCACTGACACTTCTCAGACGCCCGTTTGCGTGGGATAGGAAGCATGAATAGGCCAAATGTCTATAGCCTTCTCGGTTCGTTGGCATTATATCCACTTATGAAGCGAATGAACATGTCTCGAGAAGAATTTGAGGTACTTGTCGCCCAAGCTCGCACCGAGGTAGATAACCTATCTCTTAAGGCATATTTCCCGCTGTAAGTGTCCTATAGATTGGGTTTCTGGAGTGTCTAGGTTCCACTCATCTGACTGATGAGATAGATATGTTGCCATTGGCCAAAAGCCGTGATCAGTTAGTACAGCCGCCGGCTACATTGCATACTGTGAGTAATACAAATCGAACTGCATGGGGAAAATGTGTTGAAGGATCGCAAGCCGTGGCAATCGGAAGGGTATTGTTTGCTTTTAGTATGCCATTTTTCTGTCTCCTAGCTAGGATACTAGGGGTTACCACGAATCAAATATTCATTCAAGTCCATCTCTGCTACCCATGGATGTAATTTCAGTTTCATCAGCCTGTTAATGTCACGAAGCCTTAGCATTGTTTCAAATACATAGAAAGAGAAGGGGATGGATATACCCAGGCAATTCCGTTTGTTATTAAATGGCCCCAAGCCATTTTGTCCCAGTTAATAATGCTGTCTTTCACACCAAATTACACGTTTCCAGCTACCGATAACTCCAACACTGGCAGGGTTCCTTTCTGGAAGGGATCGAATATTCATCTCATAACACGCATCCGCGCCACCGGCCGTTCAACCGCTGATATATCATGTAATGGAGACTTCGGGACAACTGTTTTACCAGAAGAGAAGAATTTCCGGAATTCGGCAGGAAAGCTGTCGCCTGAATGGTGTCCGAAGGCATTTGTTCTGTGTGCCTTATTCAATTAACTGTACGACACATCAACCTCAACCACGAAAGACGAATACACGCGCCATCTATTTGCACCATATGCAGATGGGGAAGACGAATATGACAGAGAAGTCAAGGGTTGGTAAGTCTAGGAAGTGGGAGAAATTGGTCAGCTGCAGGGCCTGTCATCGTCAGTTACAAGGTACCATACCCAGACCCATAGTTTGAAGCATCGAGGAGGAAATTCACAGGCTTGTAATGGCCTCAGACCAGATAGACACAGCTGACTGACGAGCTCACTCATGGCGATGCCACGAGTTAGTGGACCGAAATAAACTACACCACGAAGGTGTTCGGGAGGAACCGATTGAAATCTGCAGATGTCAATAAAAGGCCACTTCTCCATGACAGAGGGCATAGTCAACACAGACCCCAAAGGTTGGGCGGTCTTGAAGGCGAACTGATGGAGGTGAAGTTAGAAGTGGCGGAGGGAGTGGAGGAATAGGTGGTTGGAAGTTGTACTGGGGCTCCAGGGGCCGTGGCAGTTGCGTGCCCCTTTGGAGTGGTGACACAACTACAACTCTCACAAGTTGTTATTTCAGCTGGACGGCCATCAGACAACTGGGTCAGCGGGGGACGCAAGGACACATGGGCGCTCACAGGCAGCAGCCACTCCTCTTACCATGGGGAGTGGAATTAAGCGATCTTCCCCCCCCCCCCCCCCACCGCCAGCAATTATATGAGGGCCGTTTGGTCAAATTTACTCCGTACTGCGCACTGTACTGTATATCAGTGCGGGTTATAGCTGGGGCCCATGAACCATGCCCTTCAACCGAATCCAATGAAATTGCACTCTATCTCCTTGTTAGGAGCAGCCGGACACAGCCCTGTCTTCCCACAGTAAAATGTTCTCTCGGTTCCCATTCCCGTTGGTTCCCGCGAAGCCTGGTTGGTTGGACCAAAATAAGACCCAAAACAAGATCCTTGTGCTTCGTACCAGAGCAAACATTCGAGAACATATGCTAACGATACTCAACAGTGAAGACAGAGAGAAGGAGCAGCGGTGAACCTTTGCAATATTCAGTTGTTTGGAAGTTGTTGAGATCGGCCCAAGCCCGTTTCTCTGCCGTCTACTCCGTACTCCGTACTCTGTATCAAGCAAGCCCCAGTTTCGCAACTGGCCGAGCGCTCTTAGGAAGATCTTCAATAATTACCGATCGGAACACGGGAAGCAAACTTACCTGTACTATTTCGATGTCAGTACAGATTACTGCGGGCGGGATAAAAAAAGTTCTGAGGCAAACATTCAAGGCAGTGAGGGCCACTAGTCATTATGATTTTAATCTTTGTTCACGAGTTTGGGTTCACAGCTGTAGGATATCTTTCTTTAAAGTCTCCACAAGCTTCACCTTGAAAGTGAAATATTCTGTCAGAAACAAGTTTAACTGGTGGGCCGTTCTGGACTGAAAGCAACATCACATCTGTTTCAATAGTTCGACCTAGTGAACCAAGGATCAGGGAAAGACGGGAAATGGGGAGAGATGGCTTTGTTTTGTCTCTCCATCCCTTGCAACGGGCATCGCGGAACGCTTCCAACCAGCTTCGATCTCACAGGTTCCACTTGCCCACATATGAGAGAACATCACTACACACCTCTCCTGTTTTCTCTGGCTTCCAGTTCCTAGCAACTACCCCCAGAGACGCCTCGCCAATATCTTGAGTTAATGGGCAGTTGTAACAATAAGCCGCACATAGATAACCAAATTATACTTGTATTTTTGCATATGCTATGTACATGTTTGTTACAGGTGGCATATCCCCTCACAGGCCCAGGATTGAGCATTCGAGCTTGTTGCTGAGATTCTTCTTCCTCCTCCATCCCCTTATTGCTTTTACATCGACGTGAGGAAGAAAACTTAGCGGGCGCTTGGGCGCTCTGTAAGCGCCCAGACTAGGAACTAAACCCCAGAATCGGCAATTGTTTCACTATTTCGGCTTAGCCTCGGCTCCACCTGCAGCCACAGCCAAAACCAGAGAAAAAAAACCTCCACCAGCTTTGCTGCGACAATGTCACCTGGATAGTTTGCCTTCACGCGCACCTCAACAACTTCAGAACAGCTGCCGCCATTTCTAAGATAGGGCACTGCCAAAATGCCCTCCACATATAAGAAAGATAAACCCTGGGATACGGATGATATTGACAAATGGAAGGTCAGCCATTCTCCTGCTGTTTGGCTCATGACGAGTTTCTTTGGCTAATGTGGCTTGATATGTCTTATTTTTAGATCGAGGAATTCAAACCAGAACACAATGCCGGCGGCACATTCACGGAGGAGTCGTCCTTCGTCAGCTTATTCCCAAAATACAGAGAAGCATATTTAAAAGAAACCTGGCCTATGATAACAAGAGCACTGGAAAAGCACGGTATAGCCTGCACGCTGGATTTGGTTGAAGGAAGCATGACCGTGAAGACCACACGGAAAACCTTTGATCCAGCCGCGATTTTGAATGCCCGCGATTTGATTAAGCTTCTCGCACGAAGCGTACCAGCACTACAGGTATGCTCGTACTTTTTTTTACTCAGAAGAAGAGCTTGTATTCGCTATTCTTCTGATAGCTAACTGATAGCTAACGAATTTTTGGTTAACGAAACGTTTAGGCTTTACAAATCCTCGAAGATGATGTAGCATGCGATATCATTAAAATCCGAAATCTAGTACGGAACAAAGAACGATTCGTGAAGCGGCGCCAACGTATCCTTGGACCTTCGGGTTCCACCCTAAAAGCTCTCGAACTTCTCTCAAACACCTATATCCTCGTCCAAGGAAACACAGTGTCCGTCATGGGCCCATATAAAGGACTGAAAGAAATCAGAAGGGTGGTGGAGGACTGCATGAACAACATTCATCCTATATACCATATCAAGGAAATGATGATCAAAAAGGAGCTCGCGAAAGACCCTAAACTTGCAAATGAAAGCTGGGATCGATTTTTGCCCCACTTCAAGAAACGCACTTTAAGCAAGCGAAGGAAGCCGTTCAAGGTCACTGATAAGAGCAAGAAGGTGTACACGCCATTCCCGCCACCTCAGGAGAAGAGCAAGGTTGATCTGCAGATTGAAAGTGGCGAATACTTCCTAAGTAAGCAGGCGCGAGAGCGGTCTAAAAAGGAGGAGATGGTAGAGCGGCAAAGGGAGAAGAGAGAGGAGAAGAAAAAGGAGCTGGAGAAAGATTTTGTTCCACCCAAAGAAGTGGATGCGGTTGAGAAAAAGAAAAAGAAGCGGAAACGGCACGATGCGGAAGGGAAAGAAGGAGACGCAGAGAAATCGGCTGAAAAGAAACATAAGAAGTCGAAGAAGATAAAGCGGGCCGAGTCGGAGGAATGATCATGCTCTATATAGTCATGTTTGCTTGTTTTATGTTCACTAATTGGCGCAACGGTGAAACGCCCCAATTCTGTTACCTTCTCTTTTCGCATGTCTGTAAATATCATAAGCATCCTCATGAGCATCTTCTTCATTCCTTCGGGTCGCTAAATAGTGATTCCTTTTCAGCCTTGGATTCAGGAGTCATGCAACGGAAAGTACTCCTTTAATTTCTATCTACCTAGACAATATATATCGTATACTTGTGCCTGTTGTAACCAACCTTGAGATCAAGCAAATTAATATGGCCAACGCTTCCAGACACTCCTGTTCTAGTTCCACGTTCTCACAATTTCACTGTGCCCCTCTCAATACCACTCCAAGCCCGTGCATCCATCCGCCGATACCCTTTCGCAGGATTAAACCAATACAGCGTATCATGCTGGAGTTGCTCTTCTAGATACTCCTCTTCACCACCCGACTTTACTTCCGGAGGTGGAACGGAATTCGGATTCCAGCTTAGCCTTTCCATAATGGTTTTGGCCTGCTTGAATGTGTCCCCCGCTGCGATGCTGTTTGAGTTTGTTGTGTTAACGAATTTCAGCCCTTCTGCTCTATCTGTATGGTAGTAACGAAAGACTTACCTATTGGTCATACGTACAAGACGCGGTAGAGCGCAGGATGGGACTCCTCTCTTAGCCAGAGCAGAGCCGAGAGAGTTGATAAATTCATCTTCGGACGCTTCCGTGCGTGAGTGTAAGACAATGATCGCTCCGCCAGCTGTGCCATAGTAACTACATACCTCGAAAATCAACACGTTGAATCAAATCTGCGGACAGTCACGAAAAAAAAAAAAAAAAAAAAAAAAAAAAACCACCCATGTTCGTACCCATCAAGCTTAACTCCAAACACAGCAGCATCCATCACGTTAGGAAGCAGGCAGATATGCCCCGTTACCTCCCCGGCACTCACATTCTCCCCTTTCCAACGAAAGGTATCACCAACCCTCTCCTGAAATCTCACCCACCAAGATTCTTCATGAATAACCAAATCACCCATTCGTTGATACAAATCCCCTTTTCGGAATACATCCCTTAAGAGCTTCTTTTCAGTCGCCGCATCATCGTTCAAATAATTCGACAGTAGCTTCAAATTCAAAACGCGCCCAATAACCTCCCCTTCCTCACCCAGGTCCGCCTTAATACAAAAGCCTGTCTTCGGATCTCGAACAGGCATCTGCGTCTCCGGGTCATACTTGACCACAAACGTCACATCCTCCAAGTATCGTTTGATAGGTCCTGCAAATCCAATTTTTCCTGCACCGGCCGCGGAGCGACCGTGATTATCAAACTTAGCTATACCTTCGGTAGCACGGTAGATTTCGCGTATCTCTTCGATCCCGAAGTGTTGCCTGAATTTCTCCCAAACATCAGCCCGGAGGCCGTTGCCGAAAGCGTGTGTAACGGAGTGAGATCGATCGTACGAAGAAGTTGGCGTTGCGAGGAGATAACGGCATAGTTCGCCTACGTAGAGAATGCGATTTGCCCTGCATTCGGTTGCGTCTTTCCAAAAACTCGAGGCGGAGAACTTTCGAGCTAGGCAGAGGGTCCCCGCAGACCCCAGGTTGTAGCATAAGCCTGCTAAGAAGGCGGTGCCGTGGAACAAGGGGAGTGGGGAGTGGGGAGTATGTCCGGAGCGGGTAGTATCTTGAAGGGTTTCTGACATCTGTAGTTAAAGGGGTTGAGGTAATCCACAACAGGTCGTTCCGAATTACACAAGCTTTTGGCTTTCCAGTTGTTCCTACATCCTGAGTTAGCAATGCGGGTTGTGTCGTCGGTCACCATTGCGTACGCCAGGGAAAAGGCTAACCAGACGTGTATATAAGAGCGGCCATGTCTATGAGGCTACGATTAGCGGGAATGAGGTCTACATAGCTAGCATTCTGGAGGTCATTGAAGCGAATCAATTCGATGTTGGGTGGAACCGGATTTTCTGCTGTAAGGGTAAAAGATGATAAATCCAGAGAGATATGTGGGAGATCAGCCTTGACATGCTGAGCCAAATCAGGAGTAGACAGTATGTATATCGGTTTGGATCTGTCCAGAGCATAGATTAAGGTGTCGTCTATTAGGACACGACATATTCCATTAGCATTCAAAATGTATTGAATAAAAAAATAAATATATATGTCAATATACTGCACGCCGAATACTCACTCCGAAGATTCGTATTGATCAGGCTTGCCACCGCACCTAGCTTCGAGAGAGCGAGAATCGTCACGACCATTTCGGGAGAGTTCGTCATGAACACCGCCACGACATCCCCAGTCTTGATGCTGCGAGCATGCAGCAACCCCGCGAGTTGGTCGACCTCTTAAAAAATAGCAGATGTTAGATCGCAGTGCGCTTAATCTGTACTCATGTCGTCCCATCTGGCTTGTATCATTCTTTCTTTCTTCCGTTCGTTCCGACGACATACAAGAAATACAAAACAAACTCGGCGCAGTTTCAACAAGTCTAGAAATGGGATAGCAAAAAGAGAACTGATACGAGATATTTGAGAAGACCAACATGCCCTTTTTCAACTGGCCGTAGGACTTCGTTTTGCTCTCGAACCAAATCGCGTCGTCTCCATCCCCGGCCCCTGATTGCTCGAGGATCTCATACAGAGAGTGTGTTCTTTTAGCACAAGCAACTCTCCGCTGCTTCCGGCGCGCAAAGTCTCGCGCGTGCCGTATGTCTCTGAGATCAGAGCCTATCGCGAACTTGGCGTTTAGATAGCTAACAACTGCAGTGATGGCAAAGAGCGAGGCGAGGGGGTGAGAGGTAATGGCATCCATTGTCATCTATTGTTGATCGCCCTACTGCTAACACTTGGGTATTGAGACAACGGATTTATTCAATGCAGCCGCAGAGCTCTGGCTTGAACGTGAGGCTAAAGCTGCTTGAGAGGTGTATCATGCTCGTCTGAAGTTCTCTGACGCATCCCCCCTTTGACGAAAATTGATTAAATACCCTCGAGTATTTACTCCAGTGAGAAAGCTGAGAAGAGATTCTATACAGAGGAGAAACAGTCTCTTCACAAGAAGGTTGATGGATCTTTGAGACAGTCGAAGGATTATAACTATATATAAATTTAGAACAATCTTCATGGATGTTTCAGCCCCGGTAGCCAGACATCGGCCATTTGCTGATCTAGCAGCACACATCCGCTAACTGATAACTGCTCTCGTGCAATGGCGGCCGTGCCACACATGAGAGTTCAGAACGCAACCCAAGTTCATTTGGTGTGTAACCCTCAAGTCCGGCATGACCGTGATGCTATTTTCCCGCAATGGGAACCTTGCTACTTGCCGCCCCGCTAGCCGTTACAGGTGAAAACTTGCTAATGGCGGGAACAATAGTCTGCCAGGATATATATATATATATGTGATGCATGTCGAAAACCCGGGGCGGCTGATTAATCGTCGGCTTCTGAGGAGCTCAACAGTAAGCTTTCTATAGCTATTTAAGTTATCGGCTGTTCGGGCGTGAGACGAAACGTTGGTGGAAAAGCCAGGAACTGCCGAGGGACAACCAGCGATTCTGGAGGTGGCGGCAGCCATTTCCATGCATGGTGGGGATGGAGGAGAAAAGGTTGCGGACAATAAATAAGCTTGTGATTTTCTCCGGCTTATTTAAATATCTGCTTTCTCTTCCGCTTCCTTTTGTATATTTATCATTGACTCTTGCGTGTTTTGTTCCGCATACCTGAGCGAAGTTCATACAACTACATCCTCCACAATGGCATCCCCACAGCAAAGACTATCCTCGATTCAGGGCCATCTCCAGGCTGGAGATTCGCCAGCAAGACAGGCGCTTCTGGCAAAGAATCCTGATGACATTGTAAGGCCATATCTCTGTTAACTGACATTTTTTGGTCCCAATCGTCAGAGATGCTGACAGAACATGAAATGCATAGGTTATCACTTTCGCTACCCGGACCCCTCTCACCAAAGCTCGCCGAGGAGCTCTCAAGGACACACACCTTGATGACCTTCTGATCGCCTTGCTTACTGTAAGCTGAACCTCTCAACTCTCAATCTGACAAGAAGCGAAATGATAAAAAAAAAAAAAAAGGAGAGCAAAACAGCTTACCCTCTCTCTTTCCAGGCCGTCCGTGAGAAATCCAACATCGACCCAGCTCTCGTTGAAGATGTCTGCGTCGGAAATGTTTCTGCTCCGTCTGCCGCATACGCTTCCCGCTCCGCGGTCCTGGTCGCTGGGTATCCCGTAACTACCTCTGTGTCAGTCGCCAACCGCTTCTGCTCATCTGGGCTGCTCGCCATCCAGCAGATTGCCAACCAAATCCAAGCCGGTGCTATCGATATCGGCATCGGTGTCGGCGCAGAGAGCATGAGCACGATCCCAGACAATGGCCCCGCCGTCGTCTCAAAAGACGTGCTCAACCACCCCATTGCGTCTCAAAACCAGATGCCAATGGGCCAGACTTCTGAGAACGTCGCAGGCCAATTCAACATCTCCCGAGAGATGCATGATGAATTCGCCGCGCGGTCGTATCAGCGAGCTGAATTGGCGCAGAAGAGCGGGTGGGTGGTCGACGAAATCACGCCCATCAAAGTCAAAGTGAAGGATCCCAAAACTGGGGAGGTTAAGGAAGTTGTCGCGGATAGAGATGATGGTGTCCGGTACGGAACCACTGCCGAGAGCTTGGCCAAGGTCCGCCCAGCGTTCCCACAGTGGCAGCCCGGTCGCACAACTGGCGGCAATGCATCGCAAGTCACCGACGGCGCTGCCGCCGTGCTGTTGATGAAGCGATCCCGTGCACAGGAGCTGGGTCAACCTATTCTTGCTAAATTCTGCGGCGCAACTGTGGCCGGTCTGGAGCCACGGATTATGGGCATTGGCCCGACACTTGCCATACCGAAAATGATGAAGAAGCTCAACCTACAGAAGGAGGATGTGGATATCTTCGAGATCAATGAGGCGTTCGCTTCAATGGTATGTTAACATATCCGTATGCGTTTATCACAACAATGGAAACTCCACAGTGGTTTCGTATTCCATTATTTAATGCTAACTACTGTGACAAAACAGGGAGTCTACTGCGTCAGGAAGCTCGGTCTCGACGTTGCAAAAGTAAACCCTCGCGGTGGTGCAATGTGCGTATAATCTTCCTTCTGTGAACACTAAGTTAAGAGTCTGGCTAACATCCATTGTCACAAATCATCAGTGCCATCGGCCATCCCCTTGGCTGTACTGGCGCTCGCCAAGTAGTGACAGCCCTCTCAGAGCTTCGGAGACAAAATAAGCGCGTCGTAGTGACGTCTATGTGTGTTGGAACTGTAAGTATTCATGGCCCCTACATCCAGATGGAAGATCCCACCGTCGAACTATCATGAAATGGAACGAAAGTTTGCTAACCATTTATTCTACTTCTCTAGGGTATGGGAATGGCTGGTGTCTTCGTTTCGGAGCATTGAAGAACTGATGATTAGACGTAAACGCTATGGCTATTTTCTCTCTTTTCTTCTGATTTGATTGAAGAATAGCGGCACATTATTTATGTACTGTACATATATATGACGGCATGTCATGGTAAATTCCCATTGGGATAGTTATTTTATGAATACAAGCTTAGAATGCAGCTTAACAAAAACGCGAGATTGTGCGGTAGTGTAATTTAGATGTGAATATTACCTAAAAATAGCCCGGGTTTGAGGGAAAAGTTTACTGGTCCCTCCAGCCTTAATATCGATATGAGACAGCTTCAGATGTCAACTCATTTCACTCCGGCCCTCACCAGTGATGGTCAACTCGTCCAACTGGAGCCCCATATCGATATTTCTTTCGATATTCCTCCCCATAAATTCATTCTACCCCGGTGACTAGTGTCGGATACCGAGTGGCCCCATGAAAATCTGGGATTATCGCTTTGAGCAGGAATTTCATGTCATGCAAATTTACCTCATCCTCCTAACATCTCGGATTTCAATCGTTCATGCCACAAAAATTACGTACCAGATTGAAACGGAGAGTACCATTCCATAGCGGGGCTTAGACTATTGTAGGCGGCGGTCGTTCCATGTATGAGAGCTAACCACGGGCATGTCGATTTGCCGCCAGTTAGGTTCCAGAAAGTCAGGGTAACAAGCTACGAAGAGTGTTCTATATAGATAAGGCGCGCACCCCCGTCCTTGATCGGTTTCGAAACTGCGCGAATATTATCCACATATCGCAATATGGCCCGATTACGAGACGAGACCACTAATGAAGAATAGTGGCAAAATATATTCCCAGCTGTTCTGAGGACTCAATCTTCCTTGCAAATCGTACTCAACGAATGAGCAAGTTTAAGCAAAACCACACTCTCAGTAGCGGCGAAATAATTCAAACTAAATACACGTGTACGAAAGTTAATTTTCAGCTTCCATCAGGGGCCAGCAAGCAATTCGAAAGGAGGTAGCTTATAACCCACCTGTCCATTAAAATCCTGAGATGTCGATTGAAATGGTCTTCATATCTTTTCAAAGTATCCTCAAGCTTACCTAGGCGCGTGGGGTCATACGTCTTAGTGGTATCGGAGCTAGCGACGCTTTGTTTGGAGTTAGGGCCCGACAGGTCAGGATCCGCGGAGACAAGACTGCGTGAAAGCGACGACGCTGTCCAGGAAGCGAACATAGTACAGCAGATCATGAGTTTGGAATGGATCTAGACAGATCTTCTGTTTAAGTCGTTTCATAATCAATGTAAAGGAAGGAGAGGGGTATAGTAAAATATTTACCTTGAGCAGTTTTCCCTGAGTTAACATGCACTCTTTCAGACAGGTGTCCAGGAAATCAACGTGGTCTTGCATCAGCTCATCGACTGTCCGATTGACTTGTTTTGTCCCATTGACCATAACTTCGGTTCCGTCAGCATCGTCGCCATTCACTCGGTCCATGAGATTCTGCCAATTGGGCTCGATCACTTCGGCAGTGCAGAAGTAAAGCAGCTGTTGCACAAATATGAGCATTCTAGCCCGTAATGTCCAGGCCCTTCGCTTCCACAGCTCAAGTTTCCGGTCAGATGATCTATGGCGCCAGCTCTGTACTTTCATGTGGTCTTGCCAGGCGGCTCCGAGTAATGTTTCTAAATGTCGAAGGGATAGGATGTACCTGAAAATAAGTTGATAACGGAGGACTGTTTTACGACTAATAACGAGTGAAAGTGGGAATGGCACCATGTAGTCGAGTTCTAAGGCATCGAAACCAATAATATCCTTTTCCTCTTCCGTAGCTTGTGGGGCAGGAGTTTGATATCTTTCAAGTCCACCATCTGGATTATCCTGATCAATACCGGACACACTTACCACGCGCATGAGCCATTTGGTTAATCCTATATAATTCATGCGAACCTTCACATCTTCTTTGAAGGGATCTTGAGCCGCAATAGTGCCGGGTTGTCGAAGAACGAGATCAAGCAGGGACTGTAATTTCCCTTCATTGACATTCTTCGCCGGTTTCCGGAGCTCTGATGCACCCAACTCTAAGAAGTAAGAGAAGAAATCAGAACGGTCAAGGAAAAAGTAATGTTTCAAAGATCGGAATCGGGTCGTCAAAGAATTCTTCGTTAAAAGGAGGTTGAGTAAGGAAGCGTTTGCGTATGCGTATGCCGAATTTACGTTATCAAGAAATCGTGGATCGTCAAAGGTCGGAGGTACATCCCGAATCTCTTTACTGATATCAACCCCGCCGCACTCACGAACAACATTGAGATACTTGCCAGCCAGCAGAACCTTATCTCTGACGGTGTCCAGTTGTGGGGGGACTTCGCTGTCACGGATGGTATACCGTTTCTCCCAGTATTCGTCAGTATAATCCTCCTCGAGTTTGTCGCGCTTGATCCCTTTCTGCTCTTTGATGAGGAACTCCGCGTGGGGATCGTTAATGGCTCCCTGGTGCAGCCATTCGTTCAGCATGGTCATATATGGACGGCTAGCCTCCCGCAACAGAGTCTGAAGCAATGTTCCGGTGGTTGGGTCGCCAGAGAAAGTTGCAAGCCTTTGAGTTAATACCCCTAAGACGTTCCCGCCCTTGCAGAGCCTTTTGCTTGACATTCCCCCAGGAGCTAGTTCCCCGCCTTCTCTCAATTGTTCAAGGAGATTTTCCACATCATCAAAATCATCGACCGACTCGTCCGATTCTTGAACCAGAAGTGAGTTTTTCTTCAATAGCTCTTGCCCGAGTGCATATAGCTGAGCCATACTCTGACTGGTAGGCATGATATGGAGGTGGAGAACATGTAGTGTAAAATTACGATTATTGAGAAGTTGGTTTTCTAGCTGGGCGACTAGAATAAGATAGTCCTTTAGCAGTTTGCGTATTGCAGCACAAAGGGCATGGTTGACAGCACCAAATTCCGCTCTGCTCTGAACTTCTACAAAGGCCTCCATGGCGCTATAGTGGGTAGCCATTTTCAGCATGGAAAGAGTAAGATCCTTCAAGCTAGGTTCAAGACCTGGTTCTATTTGAAAAGATGGGCCAATTAACCGATCAGTCTCTTCAGATGGGTTATAGGAGTTGACAAAGTGGATATATTGGCCTTCGTAGCCCATGAAAACAAATAGGAGGTCCTCGAGAATTGCAGCTTCCTGCGCCTCCATTTTTAGTTCCCGGAGCGGTGGTGGGCGTAATGATTGCGGAGCCAGTGACGATAGAGGGGGTACAGACACACGGCACGCAAGGGGGGCGGTCGAATGGGGAATCAAATTCGCTTGCGGCTCCCATAGTGCTGTATTAAAAACTGCCATCAGCCTAATTGCTAGCATATCTAACTCACACAAATATTGACTGACCCTCTGGTTGCTCCTTTTCTACCTCCTTCTCCTTCGTCTTTGATCTAACAGCCGGATTAGGAACCTCATTTTGACTGGGTTTCTTCGTTCTTGGTTTCTCCCATTCGCCCTTTGACGCTGGTGCCGAGCTTGTAGGCTGTTTCTTCGACCTGACCTGGACCCGTTCCCTGGTTGTGACCTGTGTTCTCTCCGTGCGCACTTCACTCGAGTTATAGTCTCTGCTCGTTCGACTGGTTCCCGTCCCAGGGGTACCTTCTCGTGATGCAGGCAATCTCCCGTCCGCGGGCATAGGTTGCCCATAGCGCGTAGATTTCCCATTAACGCGAGCAGAGGAAACGCGTGCTCGAGGCCCATTCGAATGGCTAGCCGATCGTTCATGGAAAGACGTAGAAGGCTTTACGGTGGAGGGAGAAGAGGAAGCCATAATTGTCGCCCGTCATCGGAGCCACCAATTCTGCCGATGAATAAAGGCAAATGAAGCGCGCCGCCTTATTGACTTCTTCTTAGTGACAGTGTATACGCTGCGTAGATATCCGGGAAGTTGTGTTATATCCCTTTTGGGGCTAGCGCGGGTATCTCCAGGCACTTCCAGTTTGCGTAACTAGGCATTAGCTAAGCCATATCCGGAGCTCTCATCCAACACCCATGCACTAACGTAATCAACCACCTAACGCTCGTTTCCACCTAACACTCGCCTTTGTAAATCAATTACAATCAACTTTAAATGTTAATATCTCAATAATTATTCATTATTTTAATTCTTTAATTTGTAATCTATAAATATCAAGACTTATAGTATAATATAATTCAAAGTTATTATAATATAGTTAAAATTGATTAAAATATAGATTCAATTAGAAAATAAAATACAGTAAAATAAAATATATAATATTTTATTATAAATTAAGAAATATATATTATATATTATTAAAAATAATAATTCTTATATAAATATATTATAATTTAATAAATATTAAATTATTTTATATAAAAATTCTATATGTTAATTTTTAAGAATTTTTTGATTTTTTAATTATAATTTTTTTTATAAATTACAAGTAAAATATTGAAAATTCTTGAAATTTTAAATTTTGAAAAGTAATTTATTAAATATAAATATAGTTTAATGATTTGATATAATAATTTATTTAAATTACAATTTTAAGATATAAATAATACACAGTTATTACAAAAATAGTATTTTAAAATATAAAATTTTATATACAAATTTAAATAAATCAATAATAAATAAGAATTTCAAGATAAAATTTTATATTTTATTAAAAATATATATAATCTATAAGATATTTAATTTTTATATGAAAATAATTTATATTTATAAATATATTTATAAATATAGACTGTGTATTTTATTTTAAATTAGTATTTTAAAAAGCTTAATAAATTAATAATTATATGTTATTTTCTCATAGAAATTTAATATAATATAATATATATCTACAAATTATCATTCTGTTTTTTAGAATAGTTTTAAATAAATATTCATTGAGATATGAATATTTGAAGTTGATTGTAATTGATTTACAAAGGCGAGCGTTAGGTGGAAACGAGCGTTAGGTGGTTGATTACGTTACACCAGACCAGACCAAAAGCAGAGAATAGACAGAGAACAGCAGTCCCACCTACAGCTATACAGACGCTCTCTTACTGATATACAACATTATACCCGCGTTCCCCTTTATTTTCTCATTTATTTTTCCTGTATTCTCTCCCGTTTGAATAATACTCGTTCATCATGTTTATTGCGCGGTCTGAATATGGTAAGCTCTTAGAAGCCCCAGTGCATGTACTACCACCACTATTCTCTTGACTAACAGTTATCTGCAGACCGTGGTATCAAGTAAGACTGCCTGAGTGATTCCTCTGAAAATCGCTGCTGGAAAAGTCTCGATCCTTACTCATCTTCGTTTGACTACAGTACTTTCTCCCCGGAAGGCCGTCTCTTCCAAGTCGAATACTCTCTCGAAGCTATAAAACTGGGATCAACAGCAATCGGTGTACGTTTCGATTTTTTGGATCTCATTCACATTCACCAGCTGTACCCCCATGTCTAACATAGTCCCCCTAAACTCTCAACGGGAAATGCACAGGTCGCAACCTCAGAAGGAGTCGTTCTAGGCGTTGAAAAGCGGGTAACATCAACCCTTCTCGAAACATCATCCGTAGAGAAGATCGTCGAGATAGATCGACACATTGGATGTGCAATGTCCGGTTTGCAGGCTGATGCGCGGTCGATGGTCGAGCACGCCCGTGTCGAGAGCCAAAACCACGCCTTTAACTATTCAGAGCCGCTGAGGGTTGAGAGCTGCACGCAGGCCATATGCGACTTGGCGCTCAGATTTGGTGAGGGTGCTGATGGCGAGGAGAGCGTGATGAGCAGGCCGTTTGGTGTTGCGCTGCTGATTGCGGGTTATGACGAGGATGGACCGCAATTGTACGGGAGTTAACGTCATTTTCTTCTACGAAGCGATATTTGGCGGCAGATACACTAACATCCCATTTTTGGATGTAGATACCATGCTGAACCTTCGGGGACTTTCTACCGATACGATGCCAAGGCCATCGGCTCTGGAAGTGAAGGCGCACAAGCGGAGCTGCAAACTGAATACCACCGTTCGCTTACCCTAGTAGAAGCGGAGACTCTTGTTTTAAAGACATTGAAACAGGTGATGGAGGAGAAGCTGGATGCTAAGAACGTGCAGTTGGCCAGTGTGACTAAGGATATGGGATTCCGGATTTACGGGGAAGAAGAAATGGGACGGGTTGTGTCAACTTTGGGAGGGAATTAGTATGAACGCTCCATGATATTTAGCGAATAAAACGAGACCATGCGGACTCAAGAAATTTCAAACAATAAACCCACCTCCATGGTTCCTAGCCAAGATGTCTGAACTAGAAATAACAATACGCATAGTAAAACATGACATAAAATATAATGAATGATGGATACTTCGAAAATCTATCTGGTCTTATATACACACGGTTTAAGCACCTTACTCTCTTCTTCAGGCGCCATCCCGTTACCGTCATCATTTTCAATGAATTTCTTCTTCCCAAACCTGGTGTCGTTCACATTAACAGCCCATTTGCCCTTAGTCGGATGCCCATGCTTGACAAACTCCATCTTGACAAACATTTTGTTCGACTTATCCACCGACTCCTGCTTAAGCACAAAACCACGAGTCCTCAGTACTTCCACAAATGCAGAAATATCCGTCTCATCTGCAGCAGTATTAACCTGATCCTCTAGGAATATCTCCTCATCATCAATCGCCTCCTCGTCTTCGTTATCTTTCCCTTTACCACTCTTTTTCTTCCTCTCTTTCTTCCCCGCCCCAGCTCCACCTCCCCTCTGCCCGATCTTGTTCCTCCGAGCAACTTTCCCAAACCGACTCTTAACCTCACTCACCCAGCACTCTCCTTTCCCATCACCCCTTAGTACTCTCCACGCCTCCTCAATAAAGGACACCCAATTCGTCCCCATCAAACTAAGACAGAAAATAGCCACATCGACCGTCCCATCCGCAATCGGCAACGCAGAAATATCTGCCTTCATAATCAGCGGATCAGCCACATGCAAATCAAAGCTAAGCAACTTGAGTTTCAAAGCCTTGGCTGACGGTGTCAGAACCCGGGCAAGTTTAGCATCGCCACAGCCCATGTCTGCTATCGTGCAGAGCCCATTGGGCCTTCGTGGTAAGGGCCCAAGAGCAGCGGCTCTCCGCTCGTTTTTATCTGGCTTTCTGTTCTGACCACCCCTCTGATTGGGTGGGCGCAGGGCGCCGCGAGTCTTCACGGCACTGATGTACCCATCGACGGGATTCGACGGCCAGGACTCCTGTACCTGTCGGGTAAAGCCTGCATGGTATTCTAAGAAGAGCTCCGGGTTGGAGGTGAAAAGTTCCATGGCTTGGCTGGACGGTGTGGTGTACAGGGTCTGGTTGAGGTGACGGAATCGGGCTGAGAGAAGCTTTTGGCGCATGGATTGCTGGAGCGGTGTGAGGGATGTTGATGGTGGAGGAGCAGGGGGTACGGAGTCGACTGCTCCTGGTGTATTTGTAGCCGCCACGTTCGTTTGTTCAGCATTATTTTCTCCTTTGCGCTTCCTGTGTTTCTTGCTTTTCTTAAATGAACCAATAGAATCTGCTGGAGTTGCAGGTGGGGAGATAGAGGCGTCTTTCGATTTGGTCCCTTCAGCGCCCGTATCCTTCAATCCCTGAACGGCTCCATTCTCAGCAGCTTTCTCTAACTTCCTCCGCTTCTTCATTCCCTTTATCTGGGCGCCACTCTTTTTGCCCGAACTGGGTGCTTCCCCTTCGATAACCCTCCTCCACATCTCATCCACATTGCCCTTGGTGACCTTTTGGTCATTGAGATCCTTTCCCTGTTTTCTTTTCCGCTTCTTGGATTCGGCATTCGGTTCCGTAGAGTCCTGTGGTTGAGGAGGCGGATGTTCTGTTTTAGCTTTATACTCCGTTTGTAGCTTCAATTCCGCATTTGAAATAGACCATCCGGGAACGGCGAACATGGCGACGTTCGGTATAGGCTAATTGCAAACACTGCTTGTGTTGATGTGGGAAACGGACTGTTCGTACGGTGTGGATGGGACGGTCTGATTTCAAGCTCGAATAATTTTTGCTTTTGGCTATTCGAGCCTTGATTTCTTGGCGCTGAGTCATCCCCGTGTTACTGTCCCCTCCGTCTAAATCAAAAACTGTAGGATAGTTGAAGGTTGTATTGATAGATCTATCTACAAGAACATAATATAGTGGTGGGTCACATGACCTGGTGGGATCGCTAACCGCAACGGCTGTAACGGCCAACACCCCCTCTCAAGATAACAAGAATCACATACAAAAACACCCAATTCATCAAGATAGTCTGTCAAAACTAGACTGGTCACCGGGACCATGAATTTCACATTTAGTCCCATTTGGTCTGGTCTCATACATTTCTTGGCATGAATCCCGCTGGGACTAGTCATCAGAAAAATATGCAAAGTAACTATATATCAGATCTTAAAATGAAATCATGACTTGAAAAAAATAAGAAAGTGATCTCATTTAATCTCATTTAGTCTCATTCTTGATATAAAGTTACTATTTTTAGACATTTTAAGGTTTTTTTTAGACTATTTTTAATTTTTTAAAAAGTAACACTTTTTGATAACACTTAAATAAGATTTAAAGTCATTTAAAGCAATAAAAATAATTTAAATTAAGAAGTGAAAATTATAATCTTATTTGAAAAATGTGATAAGAGTAGATAGTAAGTCTCACTGAGATAGTATAAAACTACTATTTAATATTAAAACTGTGTAATAAGATCAGTTAAATTGATAATAAGACTATTAAAAAATCTAGTTCTGATCTCAGACACAGTTATATAATCAGTCTAGTTAAAACTAAATACAAATGTAAAATTATGTATTTCTAACTTTTTCATCTATAAGATCTAGTAAAATCATAAATTATATAAATATCACAGTGTTTAGAGATTTAATAAGTTCATTTATTATTATCTGAGTAATAAGAATATATTTCAAATCAATAACTCTCTAATTCAACTATTAATATGAAAAATGAAAATATATATTAATATACTTACTTTAAACTGTAATAACTATTATCTTTATAAGATTTATAATACTTTTATTATCAGTGAGAATCTGTATCAGAGATATAATAATAAAGTTAAGCTTAATTATAAGATTCTGAATTTATATTACTTTACAGATTATCTCACTAAGAGTTATATATTCAGTCTTATTAAAACTTAGATATATATAAAATTACTTTATTAATTATTATAAAATCAGATCATCTATAAGCTTAAAAATATAGCTGAATATTAATTTTCAATTATTATTTAAGAGATCTGCTTAATCAGAATCTGAGTAGCTGAAGAATAAGTAGAAATTATTAAGAAAATCAGAAAGAATGAATCTCTCATACATACTGTATCTGTAGAAAATGCTTAAATTCATTATTTCTTTTAAATAATATATAATATATAACAGAGTCTTTTAATATTGAGATATTAAATTAATATTCTATTAAATGAGTAGTGATATAGTATAAGTAATATTAAAATATATTTTAACTGTAAGATACTGTAAGCAGTTCATATTATATTAATATTACTGTAAGAGGTTTACACTAAATAGATTGATATAATATATAGATCTTATATAATAAAGTGAAAAACATTAAAGAAGGAAAATTATTATTATTATTATTATTCTTCAATTACAGATATATACAGTCAGAGACTATAATATCTATCTAAGAACTAAAAGTTCTCAGGGTTTTTCCTATATCTATAAAGTTAACTATTATACATTCATCAATTTCAGATATGTAAAATCAGAAAATTTCAGCTCAGAATATAAAAACTGTTTACAAATTTCAGTATTTTAACATCTTCTGATACTTTGAAATCATTTGACAATATCATGACAAAAGAAAAGAGAATACAGTCTTAAAGATAGACACATTAAATAGATAGATAGAAAAGAATAGAAAGAAAAAAGTAAAGTAAAATAAAGAGAGACTGTAATAAAATAAATTATTAAAAGATAGTATATAACTGTTTTAACAGACTATATCTGATCAATTTCCTTCTCTTTATATACAGATATTTCTGAATTCAGTCATTTTCTTATAGCTGCTTGAGTTTCTGATAGAAAGTCTATTAAGTATTTAATTCCTGTCTCAGTTGAGAATAAAAATCTTATATTTAATTAATTTAAATCATACTTCTCTTTCAATCTGACTCTGAGACTATTGAATAATACACAGTGTATTATAATATACTCAGAATTCTTATTTGTATTGCAGAATAAGCATTCTATTGAATCAAATCTATTATCAAATCTTTGTATATAAGATTTAAAATAGTCATATTCTAGTTTCAGCTGTATTATAGATGAGAATATTTTCTTTTTATATTTAATTAAACAAGATTTTCACTTGAGTTTTATTTCAAATCTTGAATAATATATACTCTTTTTTTATTTCTATCAGCTTTCATTTCACTTATCTAAACAAGATTCTTTTATTTTTCTCTTTATAAAAGATCAGAATATAATTTTTTAAATAAATCTGCTTAGTTCTGAATCTTTTTTTACAGCTGAATCAGTCAATTCATTATTATAAATATTTATATAAGCAGAAACTTAGTGTAGATAAATTATCAGCTTTGATATTCTTCTCTTTTGAATTTTTAAAACAGAGTTTAAGATCAGTTCAAGATTCATTTAATCATTATAAATCTGACTATTTCTAAGTCTTTTTAAAGCAGCTTAACTATCAGAGAATATTTATATCTCTTTCAAACTATTTTCTCTTTTATAAGATTTTATTTTAATAAGTTTGAAAGCTTTCACTATTATAAATAGTTCAGTGTTAAAGACTTCAGATTCACAGTCTAAATTTCAGAAATCTGAGATAAAATTAATATTATCTTCAGTATAAGCAATGTCTGTGTCTAATCTATTCAAATTCTCATTTTTTGAGTCATCTGAATAAATCAGAATAGAGTCTTTTATATTAATTGTAGAAATTCTCTTCAAATACTGTTCATATTCTTTCTCTTTAGATAGTTCACTTATTTACAAGTTTATAAGAGATTCAAGCTTTTCTCTTCAGAGAGATAACTTCTCATGATGAACTTTTTCAATATTTAAAGAAGAAAATTGATTTTTAATCAGTGAGCATAGTCTGTACAGTTGAGAAGACATTTTCTTTAAAGAATTATTTTCATTTCAATCAAGAAATCTATTTCAATCCAGTTCATTTCCAGAGTTAATTAATGAAAATGTAACGTGACGGAACCGAAGCGGTGGCTAGTCGGCGGCGTCACGTAGGGGTAGTTGTTTGGGAAGCCGTATGGGTGGGCTTGACTATCTTGCTTGAATAGCGAGCTCATAGGCTACAGGGTTATTGCAAGAATGTCACAGATATGGTACTTAGTATACTAAGAAGATTGTATGAGGCACGCAGTAACTCTCATATATATATTCCAGTAGGAGAAAAACGAATTGCTGGCTCCTTTAATGGGGAGCCAGCATCTAGCTATTCTATATAGACAATGAGCGGATACCCTCCTCCCATTCCATGAGCGAGGATAGCTGGAGCGATACCTCAGCGGCGCCTCACTGCCAAGGAAGAGTAATCTGCTGACCTCGTATAGAAGCGGGGTTCTCATATCCATCAATCGGATCTTCCTATGATATATCCGAATGATGTCATAGGGTGGTTGGAAACCGGTTCGGACGGGATGGAATCATCCGCATGGAAGCGATGGGCCGTGTGAAACCGCAGCGGGGCCTTGGCGCGGCCGGGGGCGTGACAGAAAATGAAGAAGAGACTCTTTCTCTGATTATATAATTTAAGCTCATCTTTATAACTCTCAGAGTATAGTTCATACAGGCCTTTTCAAATCTAATAGTAGAAGAGAGAATTAAAGCTTCAATTTTCATTGCTTTAATAGAAGATGATTTGAATACTCTCAGAATTCTTCTCAAAGCTCTGTTTTATAGACTTTGAAAGAGTTCAGTGAAATTTCCTTGATTATTCTATCAAACTTAAACTTCATAATCAGCTACTGAGATAATACAGGTTATATATAACTGTCTCATAGTCTGGAAGAATAGATCTCTCTCTGTATTTGATAGTCTGATAATGTTGTTTAATAGTCTTTCTGTCTTGACAGTTCTTTGTTGAATATAATATTTAAAATTCAACTTAAAGTTTAGTCATACTTCTAATCATTTAATATTTAAACTGGGTTTAATCTCTCTATTTAAAAGAGTTAGAGATAGTTCTTTCTCATTGAATCTAGAAAAGAAATGAATTAACTCAGTTTTATTCATATTAAATTGAATTTAATTGATATCTGCTCTGACAAAGATTTTCTTTACAGCTTTTTTAATCACTTTTAAATTCTCTTTAATAGTTTTTGAGCTGTAGACTAGATTAATATCATCTATATAACTTGAAAATTACACTATTTTCATATTTCTATCTTTGAATAGATATGCAGTGTATATTATAAATAAAATAAGTGAGATTGAAGATTCTTATAATACTTCTATTTTTATCTCAGTCTTATCTTATTTCATTTCATCAAAGAAAATTTATATGATTCTTTCAGATATAAAACAGTTAACTCATTTTATTAGAGAAAGTGACAGTTTTAACATCTTTAAAGTCTGAATTAACTTTGACTTTGAAATATAATTAAATGCTTCTTTTATATTAATAAAAACTGCAGTTAAGATCAGATCTTCATACTTTGCTATTTAAATATTATAAATAACTGAGAGAACAGTATTAATTACAGAATATTGTTTTCTATCTCTCATTTATTCACTGAATAAAAGAGAGTTATTAATAGAGCTTATAAAAGATAATTGAGTAGTTATTATCTTTTCTAAAACCTTTTCTAGACAGTTTAATAGAGATATTACTTTATATGACTTAGAAATTGAAGTTTTTCTATTAGGTTTTATAAGAATCACTTCAGTAACTTCTCTTCAGCATTCAAAATAATATTCATTTTTCAAGAGATTAAAAAAGAGCTTAAAATATTCATTCTTTAAGTAGAAATATATCTTTTGAATAATTAAGTGATTAATTGAATCAGGCTCTGCAGCAGTTTTAACAGAACTTGAGAAGATAGCTGACTCTAATTTATCTTATGTAAGATTAGATCATTCTCAGTCATTTTCATCAATATAGTTGAGAAGTGATA